GAAAACATTTAGCAACATGTTTTATTTTGACATCATAAACAGCTTTTGTTATACAGCAGATTATGGTGGCGGAGCCGATGGGGTAGCATTAGAAATGTCAGTGTGTGTTTGATTGTAAATACCAGGATGTTCCATGTGGTTCTCTCTGGGGAGCTCTTGCTGAGGCTCGCCAGTTTCTTACGTCCATCAGAGCCTCTGTCGAACAGAGTCAGGTAATCTTCGCTCAGTTCCTGACTGAAAACCACCAAACCAGACACGTTTATTCCAGAAACGGTACAAATCGGGTTGTCATTTAACATCGACTTCTCAAAGTATCTAAAAACTGCAGCTTTAGATCAACACAGTTTTCATATCCATCATTAAATGTGAGAAGCAACATTTTCTAACAACTACAACCAGAGAAGTGTGGAGAGGCAGCTTTTTGTGATTAACTGTTGTCATGGCAGCTGGATAAAAGGGGCTCCTCCTATTCTGTTCGTCAGGAATTTGCTGCTGCTGACGGTCTGTTCAGGGTGAAGAAGCTCTGTGATGGATTCAATGTAAATGTGTCCATATGTTGATCCTGAAGACCAAGATGAGCAGATGTAGGGTGACCCCCCGAGCCTGGCTGATTCTGTCTGTCTGTGTGTGGAAATGTGGGGTCTTCAGGAGGAGGTGGAGGGGGGGTGCAGCCAGCTGGAATAGAAAAAAGCTACCCGAGCCACACTATTCAGGCAATACATTCCTTCAGTTTGTGCTCTAGGAGGGAGGGGGTGTTGAGTGACCCACTGAGAGTCCAAACAGACACCATGGACTCTGAGGGAGTGTGTGAGGTATTTTAAGCCCCCCCTCCACCAACCACATAAAGCAGAGAGGGGAGGTGGCTGGCAGCAGCTGCCGGACAATACAATGCGAATCTGCACACGCTCGTCTCTTTTTACTAGCTTCTGGCAGAGGGGGTAACCTGACCTGAGAAGTTCTGGCCCTCCCCCTCTAACACAGAACAAAGAAGGCCCGGAAACCCCAAAGACCCCAGCAACAACCACTCAGCTTCTCCCCACACTTTAACTTAGGATCCGGGGCGCCACAGCTCCTATTGTCCAACACTGCGAGGCTCCAGGACCACCAGCTGTCCCTCAGTTAAGAGATGCATCAGTTTAAAGAGCTCTAGGACAGAGCCGAGTGCCCGACACAATCACAGCTCCCAGACTGGAACTTAGACAAAACCCTTCCTTTATATTTCAGAGTCTGAGTGTTGCTTTTTAAATTGCTTTAGAAGCTCAAGTGTGAATAGATCTGGCTCAGCCTGAGGCTCTGCAGGCATGAATCAGCACATGCTGTCCTGATCACACTTCTCTGTGTCAATGTCAGAGATAAGAACCCAGCAGAACTGGTTTGACTAATGGCAATAAGAAGGGATAAAATTGTGAAACCAGAGACTTTGCTTCACCTTAAACTAAGGTTGGCTATCTGGTTGACCTGAGTGGTGCTGTTGGACCTCCTCAGGTTCTTGATTGAGCGACAGCTCCCGGTATTGGAGAAGCCCTGTGGATGGAAAAGCTTGGTTAGAAATGGCCAGAACGACTATCATCATTATTGTGTTAATGTTTAGTTTATTATGCCTTTACTATCCTTATTTTTTATTTTTTTATTATAGATGTCACTATGCCTTTTGTTGTTTGTGTCAGACTTTTTCTAAAAACGAAACATGTGAATGTCAGATCAAGTGCCTTGATGAAAGAAATGTTTCACAACAAATATATTTGAAAACTAGAAGGAGTTGATATGAAAGAGTTTTCACAGAAACCCACCAGCATGTTGCGTTTCCCTTTGCCCTCGGTGGCCAAAGACACCGACACAGAGCGGGAGAAGTGCTTCCCTGGAGATGCACTGCTGGGCCGTTTGGACATGGAGAGCCTGGAGCCGCTCAGGCTGAGGTCCAGGGCGTCTCCGGGGGAAGTGGTCGGCACAGACGAGGGGCTGCGTGTGGTATGCATCCTGCTAAAACCTGGAGGTTAGAAATTTTGGAGGGTATTAGATAGAAAATTTAGGAATAACAAGAATTGTTGGTCAGAAAGTTTCTGTTCAACTTTAGATGGATTAGACACCTTAAAAAAAAGATACACAATCCTGATAAACATGATTATTTTAGCTGGGGTCATCAAGGAAACAGTCTACATGCCACCTAGACTACATTTTAAAATTTTTATATTACGGTTCTCACTCAGAGGAGGAAGACGTTTAATCAAGCCTGTTGTCTGGTCGAACACGGAGCTATTTATAGTCCTCTACCAATTCTCCCAAGATAGAAACAGTGTTTCACATTTTACCATTCATACCGTTCATCCAAAGAAATCTTCCATTTACACGTCTTGTCCACATAAAAGTTAACATGACTTTGGCAGCACCATGTCAAAAACAGGTCTACTCGATCTCTAACTGCATTAGTATTTCTGCAAGTGGCACAGATGTGGTCTGAAAGAACATAATATCAAAATTATATTTTGACAGTTTATTTGTTAATGTCACTTCAAGATATTTACATGAGGAGTGAGGGAGCTGAACCACACAAACAACAAATCCCCCTCACTCAGCCTTTGGAAGAAGGTGGATTTGTGTGGTTGTGTTTTCAGATGATCAACAATCAGATTTGTGACCTAAATAACTGAAGGTATTTATAGTGTAGTACCAGTGCAAAGACATAATGCTTTGGCATAAGTTAGAAAGAAAGCTTCTTTTGCATAATACCTAGCTGTAAACCTTTACCCTGCCAATGACAGGAACTACATTTCTGCTAAAGAGAACAGTTAGTTAGAGGTACCTTATTCTATGCAGCCCAAGTCAGACTCTTTATAATATATCACAAGTTTGCTATGAAAGAATTTGTAAAATGTGCAAGTTAAGGAAACACAATGAATGACGGCTAATCTCTAACATTTTTTGCTTGATCGCCTTTATTGAGTTAATATAGTTTACAAATTAAACAACAAAAAAGATCAGTTAATAAAATCCACAGTCTTGTTTTTGATTGGTGAATAGCCTTCAACCTGCTTTTGTGTGATTAATGTTAATGTTAAAGACAGGAATAAATAAAATAAACATTAAATATTTGATCAGAAATAAAAGGATTTTGTGTATTTTGTTTTAAAATGACAAAGTAGGGTTTGAACTCATGCGGTCAAATACCTGTAACTTATTTGAAATCATCAAATCTGAAATTGTTTTATTTTATTTTTCAGAACTGCATGCTCGTTACCTTTAAAAAAAAGTGAAGGAAACTACATGTCTTTTTGTTTCAAGGAGGAATAAGAACAGAAACAGAAAAGCTGATTAAAAGGTCGATGACAATTGACATTTACTCCAACCACTAAAAAGGGCTGATTATTTGTCAAAAATTGCTTGTTGGAATGCACACTTTCTAAGAGTAAGAGTAATAACATTTAATTTCCCTCTGGAATCAATAAAGTATATATATATTTTATATATATATATATATATATATAGGCCTATATATATTTCTCTAATCTTATGGTGTAAGATTTAAGGTTTTCAAAGGTTCAGTACTTTAAAAATTCAATATTACACACATGCATCTCTTTCTAAATGCACCTAATAACTAAATGCTTATTTTGTATAAGTAATAATATCATTTTCTATTAATTTTTTTTTATTTTCAACAAATGTATTTTATTGGGGCCTGATGCTGTGGGGCCCTCAGCAGGAACCTAATCTGCTTTTGGCTTTGCCCACCACACTGATCACAGTACAAAATTAAACGCAACACCTGTCTGTTAACACAATACACACAACATAACTTCAAATGTCATAACAACTTCATTACATTAGCGTTTCTATCATAAGTTAAACCTCTAAGTTCCTAATTCCATGTTCAGTTAAAATGTTTGCCTTTTTCGTTTTTTAAAAATAGCGCAAACATGTCCTAGAAGTAGAGGATTAAAAACGATGCTTTTTAAATGAAGTCTGGTAGGAGCGTTTCAAGCTAACTGTTATTTTACGGTGCTAAAAAAAAACAAATACAAACCAGTTTCTCCTGTGGAAGAAGGACCTAATTCACGGACGGGAGGGCATCCTGGCTGATAATATACAGGTCACTCCCACGGCCGTGGGTTTTATTTACAAAACAATCCTCCGATAAGCAGTGAAAGTGCTCGGTAGACGGTGGAGCAAATAAAGCGTATCATCATCGCTGTGGTAACAACACACACAAGTCCCGCCCCTCTGCCCGTCTACTATTGGTCCCCAAGGATGCATCGTTTGGGTTTCCTCTCGCCTGATTGGTCATCAAAAAGCGTCAAAGCGCTACACTGATTATTAGGGGCGTGGCTTCCTCAACGGTTTGGTTGACTTTTAAATCAACTCTAAAAGGGTACAGAAGATTATAAATAAAGGAATGTTAATGCGATTCCTAAAGCTTTTGCAGTTCCTTCTGTAATTTATGAATGTTTAAACAGGATAGAGTTTAAAAGCAGGTATAAAAGAGGTGAAGTCTCTCTGCTTGATGACATCCAATTACAGAATACATGTGCAGATACACATAAATATGCTGTTGTTATGTGTGCATTTATATATATATATATATATATATATATATATATTATGTTATTATATATTTTTTTTTCTAAAGGCCATATTTGTGTGAACATTTATTTGTAATATTTTTTTCCTGCTTGAAACACCAGAATTTCCCCATTGTGGGACAATAATGGGATTTTCTATTCTACTCTATATAGATATACATTTTATTACATATATGTTATAAATACAGGGTGTTGGTGTAATATTTAAACAAGAAAACTAATTAACATAATTCTAATATGTGCGTAATTTCATTTAGCATTTTTGTAATCTATTGTCCAAAGAATAACTACCGTATGTAACTAAATTATTATTTAAGTCTTTCTGAATTTATAAATGTATTATTCATGACAAGGAAACAGAAGAACTTACATGTACAAACACCTTTTTATTAAGGAAATCATTAATTGATTTACAGTCCTTAATTGATAAACAATAAAAGAAAAGAAGTACAATATTTACACCACAGAAAAAGGCTGCTGTAATCGCAACCAGCTCCAATTTTCTACAGCAGTCTAACTGTTAAAAGAAAAAAAAAGGGGGATGGTGGAATATTTTATTTTGGAAGCATACATAACCTCATTAATAAAGTCTATTGACCTAAAGCAATATGCATGGAATGGTTGTTGTTGGTCATTGACCTTGACCAAGGCACCTTACAGAAGAACTGCAGTCAGTCCCTGGACTGGCATGGTTATCACTACTCCCCATAGTTAGGGACAAATGAAGAGGATAAATTTCCCACTGGGATCAGCTTCATAATTATGGCAGGCCACTTCTTTGATTTTATTTATTTTCCTCTGGCTACTCGTAAGCCCACAGCCAGCCAAATCTTGAAAGGGCAATATCATTGGCACTGCTGTAATTGTATAGTAGAAATTATACACATTTAGTAATAAAATGGCACAGGGATTGGTCATTTAAGAAGAGGGATGATCTTTAAGATTTTTTTTAAGAAGGGGGATACCATCCCCCCTCAACTCGAGTGCTGATTATCTAGAACAAATCAACAGGTCACAGTTTTATTCCAGGTTTTCTATCTTCTTTTAAACTCCACAGCAGCTCTCCATACATCAGCACCTTTCCCCAGGATTATGTCCTCTGGTAAGTCTTCGATTCCCAGCAGAGCTGGAAGGTTTTTCTGCTCCACATGGACCTCTAAGGTGGATCTCAGACTGCAAACAACAGGGAAGGAAAACATGAAAGAACAAGTCAGCTCCGGATCTATTATTCTCTTACTATGTATTCTATTTAGGCCCCTTCCTAGCCTCCCTAGCTGCTGCTTTAACATGAGTGAACTGTGGTAGAGGGGGGTACAACTTAAGCTTCTGTCTCCTGACAGATGGCTGCCTGGAGGGGTCACACTCTTATCCTGGAAGTCAAAAGGCTCCAAATCCCTGAGGGACAGAGAGAGTGCCAGCTGAGACTGCCACACTTTGGTCTCACTAAAGCTGTCAGAAATCAATAGATTCCTTTAGATCAGGTTAGTAATCACAAGCTGACAATAGCCACACTTCCTGAAAACAAAAACCCTCTACAATCTTTTAAACCAGAATCAAAACACTAAATTTTTAGGACCGTTTTACGGTTTTGGTTGCAGCCTCCTCCCAAAACCAAACACACATGGAAAACTACTTGTCATTCAGAGGAATGCATGTTAATTGCTTCATCTTACTCCCAGTGCGGCTGGTAATCTTCATCAGGCCCGACCCTGCTCGTCTTCAGCAGCAGGATTTCATGCAGCTCTAAAGAGAAAGCTTCAACATCTGTGACAGCGAGGAAAGCTTTAAGTCCTCTCCTCTCTTCCTCCGACAGCTTCTGCTGAAAGTCTGAAGGTAGTTTTTGAAACGGGTCCTGAAACCAACAACCACAGAAGCGATTACACCACAAAGCAATACTCTGTTAATTAGACCAGAGACTAGAATCACAACTAAAACCTTCAGACATTGATCATCACTTTCTAAGTGCGTTAGGGAGGTTTAAACCATAAATGTACAGTTCAACATAAAACTTTTGTTTCTTTCTTCCAACAGGCCTTTAAACTTACTTGTTTCCTGTTGATCATGAGCTCTGATTTCCAAGAATTCAGAAGCTGCCAGATGGAGATGCTGTGTTTCAGTTTGCTTTCGCCAAGACCCTGAAGGGAAGAGATGCCCAAAATAAATCTGGTATGTGTATTTTATTCATGTACATCTGAAGACCAACACAATGTCAAGATTGAAACCAATAATAAGGCTGTAGGAAACTCTTAAGAAGGATCGGTCAAGTCCACATTTTTTTCATACCCCTAGAAGCCTTAGGCTCAAAATAATTGCTTAATTTCACCCATATGTTTCTGCTGAACAGAATAACATTAAAAGTTTGGAGGAGGAAACTGGGGATGGAGCCTAAGATAAAAGTGGTACCTTCTACACAAAGTAGATGTGTCGCACTGCATCAGGCAAATAGTGGTCCCAGCTAGGGCTGCAGCTATTGACTATTTTGCTAATCGATAAATCTGTCAATTATTTTGTTTGATTTATAATCGGATCTGAAAAGGTTCCTTAAAGATTATTCTTTTACAGAATAGACGTCTATATATTCTTAAACATATAGACTGATGAAAAGTAATTTTTTTTTTTATTTTAAATGCAAAATATTTATACATCATTTTACAAATTTTGGTATAACTACTGCTCCAAGTGGGTTGCTTTGTTAGCTAAAGGCATGTTTTAGTGTCTCTATACTGCAGTTAATGATTAATCAATTACTAAATTAGTTGATTCCAATAATTAATTTATCCGATTACCGTATTTTCCGCACTATAGAGTGCACCTCACTATAAGCCGCGCCCACCAAATTTTGGGAAAAAACCTGATACGTACATAAATAAGCCGCATTGGGCTTTAAGCCGCTGATATCTACTACCAAACCTACAGGGGGACATCTACATATAGCCCCTGGAATAGGGATGAAGAAGAATGCTAGCTCCTGTTAGCTTGTTGGCTAACAGCAGTTAGAGCTTTTACTGAAAGCTGGGGTTTCCTTGGGTCTTTATTTCAGTCTGCAGGATTTGAGCCTAGTCTCTTCATTGGTTTGGCAGCTTTAATAAGCAAATAAATGTCAGCAAATAAATGGCAAAATGTGTGAATTCGGGACATTTGTTCTCCGTCGCACCTGCTGCTAACATGTTCTTGTGCTAAATGAAAATTAGCTCCTAATTCTTTCTTTTCCAACTTTGACTTCGCCCTCTCGTGGTTAGGAAAAAAAAACAGAGAAGAGCCAAAGCTTCTTTTAGATGCATGGTTTAAAGCAGGGGGGGAAGTAGCGGCTTATAGTCCGGAAAATACGGTAAATGTTTTAGCCCTAGTCACACCAGATACAAACAAAAATGTGTACAAAACAAAACATTTGTATCTGGTGTATTGAAGCCGGTTTGTTATATTTATTTTTTTTAACCTGCTTCAATAAAGTAAAACCACAGGTTTTATAGTTGCTTTTGTCGTGGTCAGCCTAAGGCACACCTGAGCATAAATCTTAATGTCCAATTAGGATCTTGATACAACACACCTGTGAGGTGGATGAATTATCTCAACTCACTAACAGATTGAAACAGAATATCTGAAAGAAAAGGGCATTTTAACGTTCATTTTTAAAGCTACAGTGTGTAACTTTTAGCGACATCTAGCGGTCAGACTGCAGACTGCAGCAACATGAACATCTCCCCCACACCGCTTCTCCCCCCCAACAGTACGGCGAGCGTTACGGGACAAAATGTCTTCCACGACGTCCGCATCACCTACCTTCTCAAGTGATGAGGTTTGTTTACATAGATAATTTTACAAATAGTATTTCATTAGTCTGTGTAGGGTATAGATTTCATGTAGACTTAAGATAATAAATATACCCGTTATTTTTTCTACATCGTTGTGACGTTTTGGCGATCTCGCAATCACTAGTTTGTTGGCTCTGTGCTGCCGTAGCGCAAAGATGTCTGCCTCCATGGCTGCGAGACCCGCTCCTATGTAATTATAAATAACGAATTCTAAGGCAACGCAAATATTAAGGTTAAGAGGCTGAGCTCGTAGATGATGATAAATAACATAGTTATGTATAATATATTACATTTCTGACTGTATATCCCTGTAATTATTACACACTGTAGCTTTAAATAAAACAAAAGTAAAAATAAATAAATTATCCTTTATTAAGTTTGTACTCATTGTACATTTATTTATTATCTTTTGAGAAAAACTCCAATCAGGCACAAGATTCTTGATTTTAAATCTGAATCTCTGGGGGTGAATCATTTCACATCTAAATTGAATTCAATTATATCATGTTCTAAGTGTTTCAAACTGGAATCTATTTTGTACGATGAATGTTCTTTTTATCTGAAATGTTTATGTCCAAAAATAAAATACTAGCGTACAGATCTTTTAGATATGGAAGCTAATTCTGAAACTTTCTGGTAAAACAATTAGCTTTTGATGTTTTTCATGCTTCGTGGCTTTATAAGATGAAGATTACATTATAAATTGCAGTGGAGTAATTGCAGTATTTAGAGAAAAGGTATATATATTTGAGTGTATTGTAACCATAGAAGAAATATTGTGCATGGTTTATACCTTTGCTACAGTGTTTGAGATCTGCGGGCCCAACTTCAGGGAATCTGTGAGGTAAGACAGAAGCTGAGCCTCAGGATCTCCCCCTGCCTTTCCAAGGAAACGAAGGCCGATCTCAATCACAAACAAAGCATCACAAACGTCGGTGTAAGAGCGCAGGACAGTTGTTGTGGCGCTGCTCACCGAGCCCTTCAGGGCTTCCTGAGAGGTAAACACAGAGACTATGAGTAGCTGGGAATGCCGGAATTCATCATAGGGAACCACTGGGGACAGACTGAGCTCCAGCTAAAGAGACCAGCACTAAAAAATTAGAATAAAATACCAATGAAAAACTTTTACCTGATGAATCTTTCCTCTGACTTCAGTTAGAACTACAGAAAAGTCCTGCAAACTTCTGTTTAGGTACCTTGAAGTGTCCTGATTTAGAGTAAATCATACAGATTAGCAGAGAGTTCACGTTTCTGGGACCTGCATATATAGGTTATATGTTTACCGCCTGGATGAGCGGTTTTCCAGCCAGGAAGCGACAGGTCAGCTGGGTTTGGATGGCGCGTAGGTTGTAGCTGCTTTCCGTCTGCCCGCCCTTCTGCAGGGTGTAGTTACTGTTTGCCAAGACCAGCGGCAGCAGCTCTCGCTCCGGGTCGCACAAGGTCAACTGAGTCTCTGATATCTTCTCTAATGGAACGCTGTAGCCACTGAGGAGATAGGAGGACAGACGTCTTTCAAGCCTTATGCCTAACTTCTTCCATTTTTAGAAGATGAACTATACAGAGCTCTGCAAATTGTTCAAAGCTTGGGATATTGTTTTAAAACCTAAACTTGCTTTACAGTTACCTAATATCTAACAAAACTCTGATAACAGAACATTTCATTGGATTGGAGGTAAAACATTACATCATTCAGGAAATGTTTTTAAAAAAGGCAGTTTTCTCTAAACTAACATCAGAGCAAGAACAGAAGATTCAAAGCTACGTCTTTAACTTTTGAATGAGGTCAGGCTGCTGAAAACCAGACTGCTGTCGATGCAGAACTGACCTGTCCTCCTGCCGGCTCCCTCCTGCTGCCTCCCTCACCAGACTGTTGTGAGTTTCCAACAGAAAGTCAACCAGAGTCTGAAGACATGAACCAGGGCCATGTCGGCAGGGTGTCAGATACTGACTGGAACTTTCAATTGTCAGCTCCTTCTCACAAAGATTTACATCTGCTCCAAAATCTGCAGCTAAAATGCAAAAAAAAAAAAAAAAAAAAAAAAAAAAAAGAAGCAAATAAAGACATGTGGGCGTTAATGACACCGACTTCTTCTACTGCTTCTAATACAAACATTACATAGTTTTAGTTTTATTTTCACCTACATAAAACAAAGTGTAAGGAAAAGGGATAAAAATGACATTTTTGATTTATTCAAATTCTTTAAGGGAAACAAAGAATTGCTCTTTCAAAAATAAAACATTGCTTTTCTGCTTATTTTGTATGAATCAAAATATTTCAATATTTACTACATTTAAAAAACAGAATCCTGCACCTGCACTGCAGCTAATTTGTTAAAATTATTATCATCAAAATCAAATTCTTATTTCTAAGATTTTAAGCTTTGTGATATTGTTGCAGAATATGATCCCAGCACTTCTATTCCTATAACAACCAAAGCAAACACTGGAGACTATTAGGAAAAAATACTCAGGATTAAACTTAAGTTCCTGATACATCTGCACATATTTCATCAGCTTGCAGCTAACATTTATGTCTTGTTTTTATTTACAGGAAAGTGCAAGAAGCAAGCTCAGCAGCAGAGGTGTCAAGTAATTAAGTATAAGTACTTCATTACTGCACTTAAGCAGCTTTTTTCTGCATCTTTACTTACAATGATTTATTTTGGGGGGAATTATTAGTTTTACTCACAAATATCTGTACTTTCTATGCATTATTTTCTCAAAACTGGTGCATACTTCTAACGACGTGACGTAGAAGCTTTAACACAATGGAAAATCAAGAGCATGAAAACAATCTGTCCGTTCGCAGCAAAGTTTGTTTGTACAAAAACAATGACAGCTGCATGGATGAAAACAGGGAGAAACATTGTAGATAATGGATCAGAATCTGAGATGCAAGACAATCCCCATCCATTCCTCTTTAATAGATATTAAATTTACATTTTATCTTTGTTGTATTTGCAACTTAAATGTTAGGAGTATTAGAGCTGTAAAAGTATTCAGCTGCTTATGCAGGACTTCTGTTCACTGAAATCTATGTTATCCCGCTCATTAGGGCATTTGTTTTATTTGTATCGGCCTAATTCTAATTCAGAGCATAATGAGACTGAATTAGTATTTGTTTATGATCTCTCTACCAACAGTGAGTAGAACATTTTTGAAAAGAAAAGAGTATTTAAAGGTTATTTTGCATCATTTAAGGGCAAAACTTAATTTTACTTCTCTATTTAAAGGTATAGAGAACAATCTTTTATTTCCGGGTTCATCACCTAAATAACTGGTCCTCCTATTTGTCAATCATTCTGGTGATATGTTTATGTAAGGCCGTCCTACCTGCTCATCCCCAGTTAGCGATATATCAATGTGTGGTGAGCTACAGTTTCAGACAGTCATTGAAGCTCATCTTTAAGCTTGTATGAGCTATGAGAAAAGCACTTTATAAACAGGGCATGCATGAGGAGAAATGGGCTCGAGCACACTCATTTTTTTTAACGTGGAGAGGGCGGAACTTTTAAATAATCCTCCACAAAACCTTTAAGGCCTAAACTTTATTTTATTTCTCTACTTCAGAACAGTGCTTTTTTACTTTAATTTAAGTAAAGAATATGTGGAATTTTTCACACCTCTGCTCAGCAATTAATAAAGAGCATTGACTGAGATTTATTGTGTCCTCATGCAAAACTTTTAACTCCATTGAGACCCAAAATATTTAGAAAAATGACTAGTTTTAGATTAGGTACTGAGAGGTTTGAAATCCTCTAGAGAGAGCAATGATTTTACGTAAAAAAGACTGAATCATGGAAAGAACTGCTCAGTTGGTCTCCGCTCTTACAGTTGTTTGCCACCTCGGTTCTGAGCAGGTTCCACACTTTGATGAATCTCACCACCCGCTCGGTCAGCACCTTCCTCTGGAACCCTGGGGAGGATGATGAGAGAATAATATTTGTGTCTGCTCGGGTGGATTCCATTACAGCTGCTCGAATTTTGGTTTACCTGCAGGTATTCGCTGCAACATCTGAGCAACGGTCAGAGGAGCAGAGCTTGCTGTTGTCAACTGAAACACCCTTAGAAGGTCTGACTGTAGAGCTGCCAGTTCAGGAAGGTGATGGAGCTGTCGCACACAGTGAATCTAGGACACAAAAAGAGTCTGCATCAACCTCAGAGGCATTAAAATCCAGATGAGTGACTGATCAAAATTAGATGGAAATGTATAAAAGGTAAAAACTCTGATCTGTATTATTGTGTGGGTTAATAACTGTTTTAGCTATGAGTAAAAAGCCAGAGAGAAATGTTCCCCACCTTCTTCATAAACAAGCTAAGCAGCGGTAAAGGAACGCGCCCAGAGATCTCTCCCACCAGCTGAGAAAACCGCTCCACTGTCATCGTCTCCCTCAGCGTCCAGAAGGATGAGCGATCAGTCGGACAGGAAGAGGGCAAAGAAAGGATCACCCCGGGATCCGAGATGAGCAGCATCATTAGGGGGCTTCCAGAGAGTCCGTCATCTGAGGCAATTCCTTCCTGAGCTTCAGCAAGTTTCTGCTGCAAGTCCTACAGCGGGAGAGAAGAGAGGCTTTAAAAAAACTCAGGAGAAAGGTCTCATGATTCAAATGCTTTAAACACTTTACAAGAATTGGAATAATAAACTACAATTCAAGAAAAAACTGGATGTTTTATAATATTTGGTTTTTGAATATATAAGATGGATGGATACACGAGTAGATAGATGACAAATATTTCTATAAAATTGTCTTTTTCCTTTATTTTCCAAACATTTTCACACATCAAGACCTGAAAACATGTGATCTAGACCCAGACTGTTTAGAAACCTTGGATTTTAACACTTTATTTATCAGTTAAATGCCATTAAAAGTCTTTCCTACCTGAAGTACTGGATTAATGGCAGAATCACAGACCAGTTTTTCCCACCGCTGCCGTCCCTGTTTGGAGGACAGATCTGAGCCGCCTCTGACAGAACCTTCATCAATAATATACATGTTTAAAAGTGGATTTTAGGACTTTCTCACTTACATAAACAGTGAATTAAAAGTTGTAAAAACAGTTTTACCTTCTGGGATTCTAGACAGGATCAGATGAATTGTAACTGCTGTGTTTTCTATGTTCTGATCAAGAGTTTTCCCCAATACTCTCATGTCCCTGTCCAGGTGCTCCAACAGAAATTGTAAAACACGAGCCGGGCGGGGATGGATCATGTCACGGACACTCTAACATAAACAGACGTGGATTGTCTTTTTTTTACCATAGTGACACATTTTAAAAGAAGTTATGAGACATATAGGATCAAGCCTCACTCTCTGGTTCTTTATGGCTCCCTGAAGCATAGCGAGGTGTGTTAGCAGCCGCAGGATGCCAGACTGAGCAGATGTCATCTGTCTTTCAGGGGCGTCAGACCTTCGAATAGCCTCGCCAAGAATGTGTCCTGTTCGAGTTTGATCACTAGAATTTCATAAAAAAACAAAATTGATTAAAGGTAAACATTTCCAAGCAGAAAAACTTCTTTGAAAACCTAAAAACATTATCAGCAGAAGGTCCCACCTCTGGTGTGTATGGGGAGTAAAACCATCTACTGGCATGTGTCTTTCACCACCGATCGGAAGCCCACAGTCAGGACAAAATGATCTTACCACTGGCCTTCCACACTATGAGATCAGATGGGATTAAGTGACAGATTTATAAAAGCATAATCAATAATGTAAAAAGTTAATGAGGTAATAAGCCAAACCATGAAGGCCTACCTCTCCTACAAAGGACACATGTCCGTTGGGACAGCCTATAAATACAAATATAAAAAAAAAACATCCCATTTAATCATTTCAATCTTATTGTTTTTTTTCAGATTATAATAAATGATCTCAGTTGCAACAATCAGTCCTGAAGGTCGTAAAGATCCATCAATGTCTGGGATGTTTATTACTTTCTTTAATCTGCGGTCGGTGACCATTATGATCTATGTTGATAATATTTTATGATCTTAAATACTATTTAAAGTTGATCTGTCTTAACATAATATGGGCTTCTGTATGTCAACACTTACAGTACATCTGGAGCTTCTTCTCTTTGTTCAACCACTGTCTGGCCTCACTTATATGATCATCAGGCATAGTTGGAAGGTAGGAGTTCTGGGCAAAGAAAAAAATGGAAACGTATTAATAATGTATAAAGTAGATATGCTGGATTGAATAATGGAGCTCATTTAAGCTGAAATAAATGTTTCAGTCAAGCAAAAGCAAGTTTTTCATAAGTTGTTTTTTTTCTAGGGTTTATTCTTATTAATTATAGAATCTGAAAAGGGATTGGAACTAAGGTTTCATTTATAAAACTGTAAAGGAATTAGTTTGTTAAAGAGATAAACAAGTTTCTTACTGGGACATTCTCAGGCTGAAAGGCAATCCGATGAAGTGGAACCAGTAGAGGATTTCCACAGAGGAGCACAGAGCTCAGATGGACCAGCAGCTCCAGCAGAGTTTGACTCAGACCCGACAGTTCTGAGCCGATATGAAGACCGGACCGTGGTTGACCGATACGATTATTCAGAAGAGACGAGCAGAACTCCCTCAACTCACTCGGGTTGATGCTCCCGAGTACATCTGTCAGCCTTTTCTTCTCCTGTAAGTGTTCAAAAAGCATTTAAAGACATATATGTTAAAAAATTTTCAGAGCAAAGATCTAAAAACCTGAAAATAGTTGACAAACTGAAAATTAGATTCCCCTTATAGCATTTTTCTCCATGGGGAAAACATTTGAGCTTTAAAAAAAATCTGCTAAAAGAAAAGTTGGGAAAGACTTTGCAGAACTGATGCTCCTTGTCTATGTATAGCTGGCTGCTTAGGCTGCAGCCAAAACTTTGCTGGGATTTACCATCTTCTCAGAAAGGAAGACCTGGGTGGATATTTACCGGTGTGGAAGGATGTAAAGCGGCATCAGGCAATCTGTAGCGGCAGGTGACCTGTCTAAACAGAGCCAGAGCCACAAGGCTGATCCGGGATCCTTTCAGCTTCTGCAGAGAGAAATGAACGTAACTGTACACAGGCTAAGGATGTTTGCTTCAGTTTGGTATTGATATGGATTGCTAAATAAATAAAAGTAATACACATAGAAAATAAAATAAAAACAAAATGAAACAGTTGCTATGACTGTTAAAACTAGTCAGCCTAACAGCTGATCTGTGTGCAGCTAATGCTGTTAATTTCATTACCTGCAGACCTGTAGCCATCCCCCTGACTGTTGGAAGCTCCTCAAATACTCTAAATCAAAGCCCTAATCATTATTTATTTGTCTTTTACTCCCATTGAGTAAAACTTATTTAAAGTTAAATGGATTCGCTGACCTCTAGTGGTGCAGAACTATATGAAACTTTACACTGTACTGCACACTATATTACGGTTCAGATTTATTTTTCATGGCTTGCCATATACTGTTATTTTCCCTCTTTGGGGATTGTCAAATAAAATCTGTTTGCTTACTTTTTGATACACAAATCCTGGTCTATTAACCTGAAGCAGACATAATAATAATAATAATAATAGAACTTTATTGATATTACATTGGATAAATTTTCCTCTGCATTTAACCCATCCCCTCGGGGAGCAGTGGGCTGTCATCATGGGGTGCCTAGAGAGCAGTGTGGGGTTTAGGGTCTTGCTCAGAGACCCTCAACTCCCACATCCAGACTTTTGGAGTGGGGCTCGAACTCAGAACCTATGGATTCCAAGCTCTATGCCCTATCCACTAGGCTGCAACTCCCCTCTTAGCAGTATGGTTTAGTTTTACACATGATTAATCTGAGACTCCTCCAATCAAATCTGTTCGGGGAAAGGAGGGACGTTCAGCACAACCTTTTGAGCTAATTGTATTTAATATGAAATAGCAGCAGACACTGAATGAAACTGCACTTTTACACTATTGCTGTTTTTTCAAATGATGAAACAGTGATTTCAGATCAAACAGATGTGAAAGCAGCAGCTACACATACATCCTCCTGTCCTATTTATTTTAGTTCGGTTGTGGACTTTGCAGCTCTTCCAAAAATGTGTCCTGCTCTAAACTATAATACTGCATCGTGATTGGCCAATTCTTTTCTGGCTGACTTTAAAATAACGCGGTGCAAGATAGTTTGTCATGTGTTTGTGAACTCATGAATACCAGGAGAATTTAGCTTGACAGGGTTACTATTGTATCTCTCTTGTATATTTCTCTGTGGTTTTAGTTGGGTCTGTCTTTTTGTTTTTCTCATCATTATTTCTGTATTTTCTAATAAGGCAAGGCAAGGCAAGGCAAAGTTATTTGTATAGCACAATTCAGTACAAAGACAATGCAAAGTGCTTTACATGATTAAAATACAGGAAGATAAAACAGAATCAAAGCAAGTAGGAAAAAATAAAAAATAAGGTTCTCTTAGACTAATGTGACACTGCAGAGCAAATGGAACCCAAATCCAACCTTTTTGCCTGAATTTTCCATAGCAGTCTGACACATTCTATCAGGTTGGTTTTCTTTTTTTAAATGTTTATTTTTTAATTGCCTAAGCACTAATTGATATAATGTACTCAATTGCTAATATGCGCACACATATATAAAAATACCTCTAAACTTATGAATTTAAAAAGGTCTTGAGGTAAATCTAAACGCAGCGTAAATTGGGAGTAAAGCACTTTCCTCTCTAGATTAGTCCTGTTAGCTGCACCACAGCACCCAGTATTCGCACAGATAATTTTCTGAGCCCTGGAGGGACTTTTACCTTCAGCTCAGTCAAAAAGGCGTCAGACGTTTTCCCCAGAAGAACCTGGGCCACGGCATTTCTAAGAGGCCTGTAAGACGTCCCACAGCAGAGGAAGTAGTCTATGGTTTCTGGCATAATCCTCTAAGAGAGAAAATGCAGGGTATTTATTTAAAATATAACCTAACAGATTGCAAGTGCAGAAAAAAAAAATTAATCATTTACAGTAAATCAAAATGAAATGATAAAAAGTTTCAGTTCTTTACTTGAAGCTGCAGCAGCTCTGTAGGGAAGATCCACCTCCAGGCTGGGCTGTTCATCAAGGACACGATGCACTCCATCCCAGAGTATTTGTGCAGGGCTCGCAGCAGGTAAACCCTGAGCCAATCATTACCACTGTACTCACATAACGCTCTAACCTGCCGCAGGTATTCCAGCTCCAGTTCATCTTTTTTAATCAAAAGAACAAAAACAGAACATATAGAATAATCACAACATATAAGACATCATGTGCAACCAAGAAATAAGACCCACCTTGAACTGCAACCTTCTCAAGTAGCTTGGCAGCAGCGTTCAGGCAGAGTTTTAGCCTGGCGATGTTAAGCAGAAACTCTGCTGGGTCCTCTTGTCTGCCTGGAGTCTGTTTCCTCACCATCCTGCTCAAAAATCGGATTTCTGCCTGAAGATCAACACTTCGATCAACTTCTCTTGCTGCAGAGCAAAGCAGGGAATCCTGAGGGGAAACAAGATATAAGGTGAAATAGGCAGGGCAAGGCAAATTTGTTTATGTGGCAAATTTCAGTAGCAAGACGATTCAAAGTGCTGAAAATGATAGGAAAACACAAGAGGGAAAAGTATATCAATGGATAAAAAAAGATGTATAAAATGGTTAATATAAAGTGAAAGTTGTTGATTTAGAGGGAGCATCGACACAGCAAAAACTTTAAATCTAAGTATTTTTCTTAAAATAAGAGCATTTCTTCTTGAATTAAGCAGGTAAATGAAACACTTTGCCAATGGAACAAGACTATTAACATTTAAAATAAGAAAATACTACTGAAGTCTCTTATTTCAAGTGCATAATATCTAATGATCTAATTATAAAGGTAAAATGCTCATTCCATTGGCAAATAATTTCACTTACCTGCTTAAATTAAGGCTAAATACACTTATTTTAAGAAGTTGTTGCTTATTTCTAGATCATTTTGGCAGTGTTGATAGAACAGGATGGACCTGCTGGGAAAGCCACAAGATTTTAGTGGTCTGATGTTAAGCTACCGACTGGAAAGAGGTTGATCCTCTGACAGCAGTTAAACCTTTTAAATGCAAACATACCAAACAGATTTTTACAGTACTACAACAAATAAGTTATCATGAAATGTAAATATAAAAAGCTGATATGTTTTCTAGTGAATGAGAGAGTGCATGAACCTGGAAGCAGTTGACAAACAGCAGGTAGAGCTCTGTGCGGTCCTCTTTATCCAAAAGGTTATTCTCCAGATTCTTCAGGTGGTTCTGGATGTGAGTCTTTACCTGCTCAAAACTAACAGATGTACTTTTGTTAACACCACTTGTTTTGAGCTGCCCTTCCACTCTGGGTTTGTTTTTTCTTGTATTTAGACACCTGTTTTTGTAGTTTTCTGCAGCTTTTCGCTGGAATTGCCTTGTACATATCTCACCTGTACTGGAGCAGAAGCTTAGGCAGCACCGATCGGACTATTGGACTGTTATCCACGCACTCCATGAAGGGAGTGAGCTGTCTGGTGCGGTAAACATCTCCTGGAACAACAATGGAGAGAGACGACAATTATATTTGCATATGACCTGCTATCTGTTAGTTGACACTGACTCATTCTGTCACTGACCGTTAGCAGAGACAAGCAAAGAAAACAGCAGCTCCACCACCCCCTCTTCGGGCTCCTGCCCCTCAGCGAAACAGAACCTGGACACCACCTCCAGGAAGAAGGAGTTACAACAGTGTCTGATGGCTGATTGCTGCTCCAGGTCAGCTCTAGAAGAGAAGCCAATACTGTATGTCACATTTTAAAGTTCAACTCAGAACTGATCCCTCAAGCTGCAGTACTAAACACCACATTACAGTGACTTCATGTGATTCTCTTCTAATTACTTGATGCTATGGGAAACCGTTGGCCTGAAGTTGTTTGGTAAGTCTCTCCTGCATTTAGGGCAGGAATGTCTCTGTTGTTGAACGCAGTTCTGAAGACACGGCAGGCAGATGACATGTTGGCAGGGCAGGACACACGGCTCGGTCAGCTCCAGCAGGCAAACTGGACAAGAAATTCCAAACCTTCAACAAAAAATAAAAAGGTGTTTTATTTGACAAAGGAATTCTTTTCCTTCGACATTTTGTCAATGCAACAATACAGTAAAATATTTTAATTTTTACTCTATAACTAAATAGAATTCCACCTTAGATCCCTGCTGATGCATTCATCATGGAAGGAATTGAGTATCCGGATCAGCTGCTGTAGTGCCTTTAAGCTTCTCATATCAGGAGACTCCTGCATCAGCTGTCAGACAAATAAACAGATTATCCATAAATGCTTATGGTGAAACAACTAACTTTAATTGTGAAACACTTACAGGTGCAAAGTAAAGTTATATGCCTTTTCAAAAAATTTTGAAAACCATTTGATCATGATGAAATAAGGTTATATACATCTGTCCTGATAATGTTTATATTGTGCTTTCTGAGATTAAATAGATTTCCAACATTGGGTGAGATTAACAGACATTAACGGACTTGTGCGGCATCTGCTGGCTTTACTGGGAATTTAAAAAATCCAGGTGTTGTGCTAAATAGAGCCCAATAAGGCTGCAATAACTTGTGGTAAAGCAAAAGTTTGTCACAGTCAAAGACCACCTAATATTAAATAAATCAACTAATCTACATCAACTCTGAGCCGTAGTCAATCCTCCCCAGAGCATAAAGACTAATGAAAAATTGCCATTCCTAAGAAACTCAAACAGCAACACATAATCAAAGTAGGAACTGATCATTCCGTCAATAAATCTATTTTTTATATAACTTGTGCTTAGACAGTAGAGATTGATCCACTTTGCAGCAACATCTGAACGCCTCAGCAGCTTCAGCTCCCGCTTCAGTGAACACCGACGTTCATACTGTAATCTAAGTGTTGGTTGATTCTTATCTTTCTAGTAAAGAAATATATTTTTTTCAGTTTTTTGTACTGGATCTTTGACTTTTCTTCATAATTTCCATAGTTTTCTAGAAGATGCTAATGACTTAGCCATCATAGGGTACTCCATGTTTTACCACCTGTACACATGTGCAGCATCCTACCTCTGATATTATAAATATATACAAGGGACTTAATTTACTAAGAACCTGAGCAAAAACAAAGCTTAAAACACAAAAATAACAAATAATACAGCAGCAGGACATGTTAATCTTTCAGAATAACTCTGTGTTTAACAGAAGTGAATTGCTGCCGAATAATTAAATTAAAAAGTCAATGTGACGATGCACCTTTAAGAGATTTTAAACTAGAGCCTGCATCAGACAGAACAAGGGTCAGACTATTAATAGCGACAGCCTACTGAATCAGATGCATTCATTCACATTTTGGTTCCTTTGATGGTTTGCTGTCTTTGTAAAAACAACTCTAGAATCTTCTCTCTAAAAAGGCAGATGCTGAACAACTGTTGGACATACGTTAAGATGAAGATTGCAGTGTTTCAGGGACAGATCTTGAAGCTTTGTGTTGTCTGGTTTCATTTTAAGAACGATGTGCTGGATGAAGGATGCAACAACAAGCATCCCATGCCACAGCAACCTGGAATAACAGAAGACGTTACAAACCAACCAAATGACGTCCTTTTTGTTGGTAAAAGCTCATAATTTTACTAGAATCTATAGAGGATACAGTATTTCTATAGTGGTCAAGCTTTAAATATGCATTCTGCAAATAACATAAACTGAAATAACGTTTTGCAATCCAAAGCGTTTTCCATATATATATTTTTTTTCATTATGTTCAGAACAAGAACAAAATGGAAAAAAGATTCCACTTTTGCAAACTTTTCATAGAAACCGGAGCAATAAATACATGCACAGAATCAAAACCTTTTTTCACAAACCTGATGGAGGCCAGGTGCTGGAAACAAGCTTTGCCGCACAGAGCCCCGTATTTCTGACTGAAGGCTCTGTCCAGACACGGCTGAAGTAACTCCACTCTGCCAACAAATTCCTTGCATTCATCCAGAGATCTTAGCGTTGAAAGTTTGATCTGCTCGACGCAGATACCAAGAGCAAGAACATCTTCCACCTGCAGAATGAAAAACGCATTATAATAACACTCAGATTGGGAAAAAAAATGCTTCTACATGGTGTTTTAAAATGAAGCTAACGAAGGCCGTCGTCACCATTTCGTTCTGCTGGCTCCCAGTCGATCCTGGCTGAAGAACATGAGCAGCTAACTGTGGCTGCAGGAGAAACATGTGGCTGAGCAGGTCCAGTCTACGCGCAAAAAATTTGGCAGCTGCCATGATCCAAGCAGGAGAGAGATCACTGGCGGCTCCCATGGATGTCTGCAGCTGCATCAAACAGCCCTGCATGGCTCTGGTGAACACCTGCACAGGATAGGCAAAATCAATGGAAATAAAAATGTCCCAGGCAAAGAAAATACCTTTAGTTATTAAGCTACTTTAGAGGGATCTATGAAGCAAACTAAAGATTCCTGATCTTAATGGATGAAACAGAGTTTCCCAAAATAAACAAATAAGTAAAAAAAGCTTCTTAGTATAAGGAAGAAACATTTATCTACTTTGAACTGGAACATGGACATGAACCTAAACATATTTCCAGGTTGTTTTTTTTGAACTCCGGGGTTGCTTTTTATATTAATATGATAACATTATTGTGTGATTTTTAAAGTTGTTTACAACTGTAAGGGTTTAACAGAATAACTAAAGATTAAGCCTGAAGATATATTGACCAAGAATACTTTAAACATTACATGAAACTATCTGTTTAATGATTAAAAATAAAAATCTTCAAATGGGAATGTCTTTTGGTCTAAATAAAGTTACTCAATGTAAGAAGATCTTTAAACCTCAAGTTCCTCCTTGGTTTTTATCTTGAAAGACAGCAGCAGGAAGTCATGCAGGAAGAGGAGACCATACTCCCACCGCTGCTCCTCAGGAAGCTGCTGGAGGTGACGGCCCAGCGTGCTGCTGGAGAAGCTGCTGACAAACTGGACAATTCTCTCTGTGTCGCCTTCTTTAGAGACTGTAGAGCAGATCCAAACCAGATCACAAAATGTTTCTGAACATTTTTAACATGGGACTGTGGGAGCTGGTCTCAAACCTGGCATGAATTCAGACTCCTCCCACAAGCTGTCCAGGTTCATTTTAACGATCCAGCTGAACGGGGCCGAGCAGGGCTGCTCCCCACTCTCCAACAGAAAGTGGTGCTGCACCAGAACCTCCTGGTCTGAATCACTGGGAAGTTTTATCAAAGATATACAACTCGTCTTTACAACAATAAATTGCTCAAATCAAATAAACAGGATGACTGTCCAAAGAGGATCATCCTCTAAAATGAACCATACCTTGGGTTTGATGGGGGTGTTAGGTTTAAAATCTGAGAGTCTGCCAAGATGTCCATCCACAGCTGTAAGAGACCTGGGCTGAGTCTGCCAGGACAGAGCAGGTCCAAATTGGAGTACCGATCTATGACCTCCAAGATGCTGGCTAACACCGGCGTCACAGCCGACTGCAGGCAACGCCACAGGGTGTGCCTTAAACACACGAAAAACAGAGGTTTAACAACAAACCAATCCCATCCATACAGACCCGTCACACAAGAGTAGAAAAAAATTACATCAAAGAAAACAAGGGACTCTATAGCTATAAACAACATTAGTAACAGTAGTAAACAATATGTTTACTAATCTAGAGCTAAGTCAGGAGCCTGATGGGAACTTCGGATGGAATTAAATAAACATGGGAGCAGTTTATTTGGAAAACAATTGTTGCCAAATTGTAATGTTTAAACGTTCTATTTATTTTAAAATCAAATTGAAATGTAGGTATATTACAAATTTGTACATTTATATATACTATCCAGATATACTTATGCAGGTTGTACCATATGATGATTTTGGCAAACAGATAGTAACACAGAGAAGATCTTTAAAGATTTGAGAGAATAATATTTTTTATATATCGAAATTAGAGTGGCCAGATTGGCTTTAAGAAAATAATTATTTTTGTTTTACTGTTTAAGAACATGTTACCTCAGAGTTCCTCCTTCCTGCAGAGCCTGCCGTTTCTTCGCCTCTTTGCTGACCCACTCTTTAGGAGCGAGCATCATCTCCTCTCTCTGGGCCAGAGCCTCAGCCAGCTGACTCAGCAGCACACTCTGAAAACGAGCTGCAGTAAGAAGCAGAGTTTGGTCAGAGAGGCAGGAATATCAGTTTCAGAGCAACAAACCGCCTGATCACTTATATCTACAGTCAACGTGACGAAATAAATCAAGTAGAAATTTACCTGCAGCGGGATTTTCAGCGGATGACATATGCATCAGCAGGATGTGCATACGCTGCATTCCCCTGGATGTCAGATCTTCAGGGTCCCTCAGTAAACCCACAGCTTTCTGGATACAGGACCGAACTAAAGACAGACCGTCAAGGTGTGCTCTCTCCACCTGTACAGAGCAATCAAATATTCAAAATACAAAAACTATTACTTTATTTTTAATCATTTCAACACAGACATACTTTTCCGTCGCCTCTTGAGTTGTTTGTTAAACTCAGTCCTTCACCTCGTCCGTCATCTCGATTTTCTGTTCAAAATAAATATACATTTGATTACGTATTTTATCTGGACTCTGTGACCATATAACCCAGCGCATGGGTTAGTAACAGTTTTACAAACAGAAATCAGAAAAATGTGTCTCATAAACAGACTGGTTAGAGAAAGTCTTTCAGCATCAGCTTTTTAATATGGGGCCAAAATTGTTGCTTTATTCTCTGCAAATGTGTGTGGAGAGTTGTGCATCTGTATCTCGATTTGTGTGTGTGCAGTGGGATTTGAAAATGTGTAAATGAAGCTGTACATGTGTGAGGAGATTTGTGTGTCTGTAAAACAATCTGCAAATGTGTAAAACTACTGTGTGTGTAATCCGGTTTGCAAATGTGTAAAAAATCCACAAACCTGTATTCAGATTGACAAATATGTACTGAGATTTGTAAATGTGTAATAAATCCACAAATCTGTATTCAAATCTACAAACGTGTACATTACTCTCCACACACATTTGCAAATAATAAAGCAACAATTTTGGCCCCATACTCTAACCCCAGAATCACCAGATTTGGTCAACAGTTGGCGGCTTGGCGCCATCTACCCAAGAATCTGACCAGCTTTCCTGTTTCTGCTGAAGTACTACAAACTGACGTATGGATTGTTCCTGCATCTCATCAAGGCCAAATAGTAGCAGCTCAAATAGTTTCTTCATCTACAGATCATTCCTACTGAACTACGGATATAATTCTATACAGATATCAAGGCTGCTATTAGCTGCTTCTCTGATAAATTCTCGTCTTGTAGAATCTGTCACTTCAGGTGGACTGCCATGTCTTGGCAAGTTTGATAACATCTCATTACAGTTTGATGAAATAAAATAACACACATATGGATTCTGTTTACAAACTGTGACCTCAAAGCCTGCACAATATAAGCAAAAAACATGTCCCCAAAACTATCCCTGTTTTACTCATTTCAATTTAGTTTCAAAGGCACTTTTAGAAATTCCAAAAAGAAAGTAAACAGGAATTAAAAATAATATTGCACATCATCAGTAAATACAAACTTAAACAGGTAAAACTGAATTTTATGTAGAGGTCACATGCTAAAGGAAAGCAGAAATGAAGGAAAGTGTAAAATTTTCTATAGTATCAATACCGTTAAAAAGGTTTACACGTTTGAATAATCAAAGAAGTCCAGAATATTGTATGTGAAATACAGTTTTACTTAAAGGGATAGTTCGGTATTTTTGACATGAATCTGTATGGCATCCCCATCACCAGTGGCATGCAATCACACTGACTTACCCCTGGCAGCGTCCTGTGAGCAGAGTTATCGTCCAGTTTTGGTCAAGCCGAAAGTAGTCCGGCAGGTTTTTAGGAACAGCGAAATAAAACTTTTCTCTTCCCAAAACATTATGTGTTCAAAAGAGCGATATTTTTGCATCCCAAAAACATTGTAGTGGAAAAAGTCACACGTCGTTATCACTTGGTCCTATCTTCTCTCTGTTCGTATCAGTGCGCGCCGTCATTCAGACAGCGAGAACCTGACAACAGCCATGTCTCCCTCCGCCCAGCTAGGCGGAGGGAGACATGGCTGTTGTTGAGCTCGCTCTGATACGAACAGAGAGAAGATAGGACCAAGTGATAACGACGTGTGACTTTTTCCACTACAATGTTTTTGGGATGCAAAAATATCGCTCTTTTGAACACATAATGTTTTGGGAAGAGAAAAGTTTTATTTCGCTGTTCCTAAAAACCTGCCGGACTACTTTCGGCTTGACCAAAACTGGACGATAACTCTGCTCACAGGACACTGCCAGGGGTAAGTCAGTGTGATTGCATGCCACTGGTGATGGGGATGCCATACAGATTCATGTCAAAAATACCGAACTATCCCTTTAACAGCAATAGATTTTTGGAATCTTAGGGATATTAATATCAGGTATGAGACATGAGAAAAAATTTAAACATAAGGAACAAAAACCAGTATTTAAAGGTGATAAGAGATAAAAAGATGTTATTAAGCAGCTGAAACCCACTGCTTGGAATTTGTGTGAGGAATTTGTTCTTGCATACACATAAATACAATAAAGACTATAATTCACTGTTCATGGTTTCTGGAAAGAGTGTGAAAATGTTTTAGTAACTCTCTTTTTCCTTTGGGAGTATAATATAATCCTTAACATTGTTCCTTATTTCTAGTTAAAACCAAGAAGGTTTTTGATTTCTACCCAACACTGCAGGTTTGATCAGGGTGCTGATGAGGGTTCCACAGAAATTGGACAGGTCCAGACTCATGTCCTCCGAGTCCCTCAGGTCATCAATATGAACTGAATGCCAGAATCCTTTAAACCAAACACAAAAAAATGAGTTCTCAGTGTTCAGTATATGACTAAGCATTCACAGCCTCATTCTTTGTGTGCCTCACCTCCTTGGAAACCAATGTACTGAGACTGGCTTGTAATCCTTGAGACCTTCACAATGAAAACAACCCAACAGACCTGAGTATCCCTGGAAGCCATGTAATTCATAATGCAGTACCTGTTGGCATAAAGCCTACAATTAATATCACTCATGGCAAGCCAAACATGCACTCTTCCTCAGTTATTAACCATGAGGACTTTTACTTTGCTGAGGCGATGAGCTCGTCGCTGCACTGGGACTCCTCCAGGTCCATCTGGATTAACAGAATATGGAGCAAGCTGCCAGCGTTTCGGAGGAAAGTCCTGACACATATAAACAAGTGTGTAGTTTAATGTGTGGAAATTGGAGTGTTTTGCACAAGAAGAAACAAACTGAGGCTATTTTATAAATTCAGATGCTTATTTTTAAAACATACCAACGAGTAACTACAATATGTATGTTTTATAAACTCTAGAGTAACATAATAATAAAATCAATACTAAAAGAGACAAACTTCTATGCAAACTTCTATGCTTCTATGCAAGTCCAGTGCTCTGTCATACCGTATTTTATTGCAGAAAGAGACTTCCGTGTCAAACTGGTGGAGCGACAACAGCAGGATCCGGTCTGTGTGCAGTCCTAGAGCGTTGGCAACAACCCTTACGTCTAACTTCGTCAGCAAGCTGGAAAATGTTGTAATCTATAAAAAAAAAAAATCATACATATATAGATATATCAAGCGGTGAAGTCAAGAATTTTTGTGAAGTCTTAAAGGAGTTGAGCTGGAGATGTGACTCAAGCCTTACCTCCAAGAATTTGCTGGAGTCCTGATGTGCTTTCAAACAAGCTTCCAGAAACTCTCGGAGTGAGTGGTGATTTTGTTGCTGGAAGTATAACCTCTGTAGTTTCTCTTTGTCCTGATTCGATAACTCTGAATCTTTAAGCCTCACCACAGCATCAGGGGTGGCACAGTTTAACAACAAGCTTTTGGCCAAGTCTAAGACTTCTTCCTCTTCTTCTCTGGCAGACTCATCATTTTCTGTCTGCATCAGTTCTTCATTGTCCAAAGTTTCTCTATCATCCTTATCGTCACTGAAATCCGTTTTTTCATCCATTATCTCACTTTCTTGCTCAGTCTCCATTGCATCAACAAACTGTTTTTGCTCCATCTCTGTCACTTGATCTTGGTTGTCTGGCTCAGGTTGTTTTGGCTTGTTTGGCTCATTCTGAATTACTCCTCTGTATGAGGCTGCTTGTTGTCTTTTTTCTAGTGCTTGTAACAAAGCACTGGCACATGCATCACTGTGAAAGCCAATGAAAATGTCAGAGACCTTGAAATCCTGATCATTTTCATCTTCTCTGGAGAACTTCTTGATCCACTCTCTTAGTTTGTTCAGAATGCGGTGCTGCCATGCCTCTAGATCGGTGCTCCGATCCACTCTGTGTTTTTCCAGCCTGTTGATGAGGGGAACTGGGAAGTGCTTATAAACCTTCTTCTGATCCTCCACTACAATCAGCCGAAAGTTCTTATGAACACGACATTTGACTCTATGGGAGCCGAGACCCAGATCAACATACTGCTGCTTACTGAGGTAAACATAGTACTGGTTCAAGGCATCATAAAGGCTTTCATAGAGATTCTGCATGTTTAAAAGAATGACAGTCCGTCCGGTCTCCATGCAGGTTTTCACTCGGTTGACATTGCGGCAGATTTGGGCATATTCCTGGTCTTTTGGGAATCCGGAACCAAAGACAATTTCAGGTGGTGGACAGTCTCCTTTTGCAAAGACTTTTTGCTGAAGGATATGCAGAGCTGCATTGTTTGTAGTGAGCAACAAGAGATAACGGCTCTCCTCATTGGTCTCGTGATCAAGATTCCTTAAAATCATCTGCAACGTTCTCGGTCGGGGAATCTCTGTCTGATCTTGCAGAACTTCTTGAAAAAAGAAGACTGTGTCAAAACCCTCAGGCTGTCCACTAAAGTTACGTAAAATTACTTCTACAAGCTGTTCTTTGTTTGGCTCTTGTTGTGTGGCCTTCGCTGCTGCAAACAGCATTTTGACCAGGCTGTAGTAATCCCTTAGGCCAAAGAACTGATTCTTTGAGGTCTCATTGCAGATCTTTAAGAAAGCCTTGGCTAAAGATGGGAACAGATGTTTTATTTTCAGGAGAATCTGTTTGGAGGACGAACAAATTCCTTTGGCTGTCTCAACGAGTTCATCCTCACTTGGGTCCCACCTGGAGACAAATATTCCACGGTTCATTTTTGCTGGATCAAGAGCCCAGTTGGAGATGCCAACAAACCCAACCTTCATGTGTGGATCTGGCTTATCGTTGTCAATACATCCATCCTCCAACAGAGGATGAAGAGTTTTTAGTGGCATCTGTGGAGAATCTTCTGCTAGCCCTATTTCATCTAACACCACCACTGACACATACTCATCCATGTTTTTGTCTTTTTGGAAACGAGCACAGTTCCTGAATGTTCCTATGATGCCTTCTGGGCTTGAGTGAGGGCTGCATTGGAAGGAGACCATGTGAACTTGTTTGAGTTTCTTAAATAACTCACAGTGGGAGTTCTGGCCTTGCATAGCATCAGCGACAACGGTTTTAGCAAGAGACTTGGAGCTTCCTGGTTTACCGACCAGAAACAGAGGGATCCTCAGTTCAATGCAGACCACCATCAGAAAGACGTTTTCTTTGAGTGCAATGTTTTTGGCAATGGTCTCCCTTGTCTGAACATTTTGGAGGAAAAGATCTTGACAGGTGGAAATCTCCTCTTGCAATGCTGCAACAGAGTTCATCGGCCTTGGAAAGTACATACAAATTTCTGCCAGGTACTTCTCCTTGGCAACAAGAGACGGGTAGTAACATACTCCAACTGCTAAAATCAAGCACTTCAGGGTCCTGTGATCATCACTAAGATTAGTAACGTTGGGGAAAATGTCTGAACTGTGTTGGTAAAACCAAACTAACACTTTCATGGACCTTTCCACATCTCTTAGACTTACAAAACTACATTCATTTTTGCGACTTCTCATATATTTCTGGGAGGCAGCCAGTACATTAGAAATGATGTTCTGGCAGGCTGCTGGCAAACGGTTATCTGAAACCGTCTTCTGGACAATCTGTTTGATGTAAGAAAGCTCAGTTAAATCACTCAGCTGGCCAAAGTCCCACACCAAAGACACCATGCTTGGAGGCAGAGGATGAACTCGGTACACCAGCTGCCTCAGAGGAACTTTCCCGAGTCTGTCTTCCGTCTCATCTGCCTTCACTCGGTACCCAAGTCCTGCGTGTTCCAAGCGTTTCACCATTTCAGGTGAGTGCTTCCTGTAAGGATTACAGGCAGCTATTATTCTTAAACCACTCTGTGGCCTCAGTGGTTCTCCCTTCACTGTTTGGTCACACAGGATTTCCTTGATGGCAAAAATGGCCTCTGTGGTGTTGGCTTCATCAAAGAACAAAATGGTGTCCAGGTGGTGATTCTGCTGATTTTTGTGCGCAAGTTCCTCAGCCTCCCGTACCTTTCTGTAGATCATCTCTGCTGTGGTTCCACCGTGAACTTTAACAAGAACCATGTTCTCTACTGGTCTGTCCTCCCTTTGCAATGTACAGAGGAAACGGACCAGTCTGGTTTTCCCACAGCCAGTCTCACCCATGATCACAACTGGAATCCCACACCTGAATCTCATGTGTATAGCCAACATCTTCATCACGTTGTCTACAGTGAGCTCGTAAGTGGGGTCTGGATCAAAGCTTTTGTCCATAATTCCTCTTTTTGCACCAACAACACAAGAAATCCTTTTTATTTTGTCTGATCGGGACAGTTTGTCAAAGTCCTCGGTGAGAGAAATCCTTTGTCGTTGCAAGCCTTCAAAAAGTGCCTGTGTCATTATATTTTCTATAAGAACCGTACCACTGTGAGGATCAACTGCCTTGAGTGTGTTCTGGCCGGGGAAGAACTGCACATTAAAGCCGAGGAAAGACATAGAGAAGTGGTCTGCGTTAAAGAAAATGTATGGATGTGATTCATTCTCCCATCTTTTTCGGATTGCCAGACGGGTAAGGAGATCATCTTCTACATGGCCTTCGATGCGAGAAGCAGGACTTTCATCTGATGTATTTAGAGACGGCGAGGCGAAATCTCTCGCCATGAGAATCATAAACTTCACAATGAAGTCCTTAAAGCCTGGAAGCTGGTCAGCAAGAAAATCTGGATCACAGAAAACTGAGTTCTCACAGTCTTTCAGCTGCACATTCATAAACCAGGAGAAGTTCTTTAGTTCACCCCAAGATGGGTTTTCCATGCCACAGTACCGCAGAAAGAGACGCAGGCAATCACTAGGACTCCCAACTATGGAACCTTTCTGATAGTTAAATCGATCCAGATGCCTATTCTGGCTGTAGAGCTGTAAGTATTGATAAGGCCTTTGAATCCCCTCACTAATAAACTCCTGTTTATCTACAAGTGGATCAAATGTATTTTTTCCAGGGGAGGTTGAACTGGCCATTAGTTGCATAACTTCCCTTGGCGCTTTGCACTGAATAGTGGGCAGGATCTCAAGAAGACCGGTCCACACCTAAGGAATAAATTGATAGCAAATTAACACATAACATTTGTTATACTACATAAAGAAGTAAATGAACCTGAAATACATATTTCATAAATAATCATTAGAATTTAGGAAGAGAAATATCTACCTCTTTGGCCTGGATGTTATAAGATGTGTTCGTTTTCAGCACTTCCACTGTGATCAGATGAGCATCATTTTTTCTCCACAACACACCGTGGCTATCACTCAAACAACCCAGAATCAACAGATGGAACAGAAGCTCCTCCAGACCTGACCGAACCTAAATGTAGAAGAAACATGGATTCCAGAGGGCTTCTAGCTAACAACTGAATACGCTGTCTGAATTTTATTTTTTTGGCTACTCACGCCGGCTGAGTCAATATGAAGGAGAATGGGGTCCTGCTCTCTGAGATTCAGCAGCTTCTCCGTCAGAGTTGCAACCAATGAGTCAACATCCACGCTCGCCTCAATCAGACGGATCCTCACGTGTTTTGCACGTGGAGACTTCTGCTGGAACTTCTCAAACAAACGCTCCACATAAAGGGACTTCCCTGTAATGTGGGAAATACTGATGTAAAGATATTTCTTCTGTACTGCATTCATTAGAATTATACTATTATGCTTTTTATTTTGGAAGCTTAAAAACATTATTTTGCTCACCAACTGCAGGGCGCACAGATGACACGATCCAGACAGAGAGCTGATCTGGAGATACCAGAGCAACAGGGTTCTGGGTAGTGTTTAGGGTGAAGTGGTGATGCAGATATCTCCTAGCCCTCTCTGCTGTTAGACTCACACCAGCCTGTACTTTATAGTTGCTGAAGTAAGATGGAACATATCTATGCTGGTGCACAACAGAGCTAACTATGACCAAACGATAATGAGGCCCAGCACTTCTCTCTAGGCCTTCATAGAGTTCCACCAATGCTTCACCAGCTTCATATCCTAGCACTCCAGGATTAACTAGAGAATAGATCTTCTGCCAGTTTTCTGTGGAGGTTTGGCATAGAGCTCTACGTAGAAAGAGCTCCACATCTTCTTTGGTTGTTTGTTCCCTGCAGACTAGGACCTCATCAAAAGACGGCAGAGGCAGCTCTGGACTCTCCATGTAAAAAGACAGAGTTGTAGTGAAAACTTCGGCACTAGGACAGAGCACAAGGTTTGGCTTTCCCTCCTGGAGGACAGGTGGGAGATTCCTGATCATGTGCTGCTGATTTGTTTCAGACAAACACATCAGGAGATGCGCAAGTCTCACAATGTCGAGGGACTCATCAAGGTACAGAGACATGTTTCTTCTGAACTGCATCCAAAGGTTTTCCAGCCTACCCTCATTTATATGATCATTGTCTTCTTGTTCCTCATCTGTTGAAAACTGCATTAAATCTGGATTCTCTTCCACATCTTCTTCTGCTGCTGCAATGTCCACTGATGCTTCACTCATCTGCTCCTCATCATCAGTGTCATGCGGTGAGGTCATGCTCAGCACATGACTGTAAGCAGCCCTAAGATCATTCAGCGTGCACTGAGGTTTTATGGGAAAAAGCAGGTGCCACAGCTGCTGAGGAACCGATGCCTGACGTTGACACACTTTATCTATCCAGTGGCACATATAAACCAGCTGCTCTGAGGTGAAGTGGTTCAACAAGCTGAAGCTGGAGCGCATCTGGCTGATGAAGCAGGACCACTCTTTGTGGCAAAACTCCATAGACTGAGCCAGTGTCTGTAGCTGCTCTGTCACCTCTCCGTTGTACAGCATCTGCTCCCCCCTGAGGCACGGGAAAGTGATGCTGATGCACGGCTGCTGCTGTGGGCAGCAGTGGACCTCACCAGACCAGTCCCTGAAGAGCATGTTGCCAGATGTTTGCATCTGCAGAAGGACAGATGCCACTCTCTGAACTCCTTCAAAAACCTAAAAAAAAAACAGATAATAGTACATAGAACAGCAAATTAATTCGACAAATTTGGGGAAATAAATAATTGACTGCTTTAAATATTAAGGAATTTGCTGGGCATTAAAAACATAATAGGTAATGCTAATTTTCTCTCAAATTCAAGGATACAGATGCTTTAGTTCTTTCTCTTCATGAATCATCTCTTTTATTTCCCTAAGTCTTATTTTATTTGATAAATGTTACAAAGTTTTCCTTTTAAATTATGTACAGCGTGACCCCCTCCTTGCAGCAGTAAATCTGTGTATTTGCCTTTAAGTCAGCCAAGTTCAACTCCAGTCAGTGGCCGTCTCTGTCGGCTCGACTTCTGCAAAATAAGTGAGCAATTCCTACTAAGGGAGACCGATTCTGCACAGACTGAGATGGCCAGGAACGTATTTCATATTAGGTGGGTAAACTAAGGACTGAATAATCTGTAGGTTTTGTTCAAAAGTGAACAGTTTAGATGTGAAAAAGAAACTGAACAAGCAGCTACTGATGAGTAAAAACAAAGTAAATTGTTTAAAAAAATGTTTAAAGGTACTGAAAAGCAGTCTGTTAGCTACATTTTCACATTTTTCCTTCATGTTTGTCTAATTGTTGCCTGTGCCTACATATGTCTCTGTGCAGATTTATTGCAGACATCAAAACACAATACAAATTTAGTCTATTTTGAACAAAAGTAATTTCCAAAATAGAACAGTTAATATTTTTTAGCAATTACAAACTTCTAGTCTCTTTTAAGTGAAAGAGGGAATAAAAATAGACTGGGGTTTTTTGTATTTGTATTCTGAAATTAAATTTTATTCTAATTTAGATTTTTTAGGCTTTATTGTTTGTAAATATATGAATACTAATACTATTATCAACATGTTTGTTGGGGGGTCATTGTTGTAAGAATACTTAAATTGTTTAGGTAGTTAAAACTTGAATAGTAGATTTACAGCTGATTATTAATATGTTATAAACAAGTAAAAAAAAATGCTGTTCTTTCTGTGTTTTAACGGGTTATTTATTCATTTCTCGTGATTTAATTCAACCACTATGTTTATCTTACCTCTGTGAATCTGTTGACCTGTTCTCTGCCATGTTCTCCTTTAGACGACATCAGCATAAGTTTGTTCTGAAGCTCCAGCAAATCTTCAAGCTTGTAGCCTTTCTCGTCTTTTGTCATTTTTACCGTCACCAGAACCATGTTTTGAAGACATCTCTGAAATCAGTAGACAAACGCCTTCAGACTAAAATTCAGCCTGAAAGCATTTCAATTTGTCTCATAATGAGGACTGACCTTCTCTGTGCTTGAATTAGACCATCCGATGCGATAAACTCCGTGTGTGTTGATAGACGAGGCGAGCGAGAGTGAGGATTGCTCCACAGAGCCGTGAGTCTCCTTCAGCGCTTTTAGCCAGCTCAGCAATCGAGTCGACTCTCTCTGGAAGATAAATCCACCACCTTCAACATTCAGCCCATTCATTGCTGCATAAAAGCTTCAAGCAACATCATTTATTTCCAGTTTTATTTAAAGAAAATGAAATTTATCAGTAGGCAGTTCACAGCGAATAAAATTTGAAGGATTTCAACTTATTCTTTTTTTTTTTTTTTTTGTAACTTTGCAAAGTTAGCAACTATGCCAGGACACTAAGCTAGTCATTCTCCTTACTGTAGGTATTTTTTTTATATGAAATACTTTCAGTAAGATAACTTTAATTAAAGAAACATCAGACTTTAAAAATTGGAAGGAAAATTCTGTTAGGCAGGAAGGATGGTCCAAAGAAACAAGATCTAAAGCTTTCTCAGTTGGTAAAAGTCAAACAGTACCAGTTTGTCAGGGAGCTTGTCATCTCTGCTCTGGGCGTCCCACACCTGCTGGGCACACTTCATGATCTCCTGAAACCCGGCCTTAGGGGACAGGGTGTAGAGCAGGGGGCCGTATCCCATCACTGCGTCATGGAAGCAGGCCACCTGGTCAATCTCTGCATCGTTTTCTCCAGCGGATATCGAAGCCAGTTCGACATAAACTTTAACATCGCTCATAGCTGGAAAACAGCAGTTTCAGTCATAATTAATCTCCTGCTAAATTGATTTAAAAAAGGCAAGAACTTGTGATTTCTCATAAAGTCTACCTACTTCTCAGGTTCTCTGTGACCCAGCTGATCAGAGTTTCGCTTTTCAGGAACTCCTCCAAACATGCAGTGTGTTTCTTGTTGACTGCTGAGAGCTTCTCTCCGGCACTGAACAGATCATCTGAGAGAGAACCCAGGACCCTCTGCTTAAAGCTGTCTCCATCCTGGTGAAGAGGAAAGGCAACTTAAGGATACATCAGCCAAAGGTAACGCAGATTGCTTAGACCGGGCATCCCCAAAGTGGGTCCTGGAGGGCCGCTGTCCTGCAGGTTTTAGAGGTTTTCCTGCTCCAGCACAGTTGATTTTAATTGAAAGCTGATTAACAGGCTTTTGCTCAACTGCAATCATCATAATCAGCTGTGCTAAAGCAGGGAAACGTCTAAAACCTACAGGACAGCGGAACTCGAAGAATGACTTTAGGGATGCCTGGATTAGATATATAAGTTAGTAAGAGCAAACTTAGAAAAATAAAGACAAATAGAAGTTGAAGAAAAATTTAACTAAACTATGCTCAAGTATTAACTTAATTTGAGATATATTAGATGATTTTTAAGGCTAGAACAGAACTTGGCACGAATCAATGCTCCATGAGGGCCACTCTTCTTAAAAACTCACCTCTGTAACTAGAGAGCGTTGGATCCGTCACTAAATGAGTCATGTGACTCAGACCGCCACTTTACAACAGTCTGAGCTACCCGTAAACATCAAAGCTGGCTAAACTAAAAATGTACCTGATTAGACATTTACAGTTTTAATGGATTTAATCCAGAGGACTAAATATGGCCTTGAATTTACAAATACTGTAAGTCTGTGACCTCTAACCCCGCTGGTCCAAAGTCATCTGCTATCAGATTCCAAAACACAAAGGGAAACTGGTTGATTTTATTGCTTTCAGGGATGCTAACATCTAGAGGTTACGGGTCTAGCACCCCTAGTGGCTAAACGTTACACAATGTTGCTTTAAAAGGCAAAGTCAAAAAAAGTTTTAAGTTTTTGAAGCTTATTCCAACAGCAGCATAGAAATAAGTTGCAGATGTCTTACAGTGAGCTTATTCCAACAGCAGCATAGAAATAAGTTGCAGATGTCTTACAGTGGGTTCTGCTGAAACTAACTGTTCAGACTTCAGTTATTTAATTCTGGTAAAAAGGTAAACTCTCACTGAGGATTTTGACATTAGGATGAAGATCAGGGTACATGATCACTCCCGGAATATCAATTTTTTTCTTACGCTCTTTAAACCAACAGTGGAGGTGAGTATCAAGCTTTAATCTACGCTCTTTTGGTTCAAAAAATAAAACATTATTATCTGTGTAGTACATTAAAAAAATATTAAACTAAACTGCTAATAGACTAACACGTGTCATCAGCATAACTGTGGTATTTTAGCTTATTAGTTACGTATCTAAATCTACTGACCTAAATAAGAACCAAATGTAACAACAAACCGTGTTAAATGCTGCATTTTATGTTGTTAACTGCTGCATTGCACAAGTTACATGTAAACTGGCATTGAGATTCTATCTAAATCAGCAGTTAGTTGGAGTTTCAGTGATTCTGGTAAAAAAGACCTCCTACTCTGCACAAAAATCTGATATATTCATGCTGTAAAAAAGGTTGTTTTAAAACACTGAAATGAAAGTCTCTCTGGAGCAAAGATTCGGACAGGACAGATTCTCGTATAGTGAAATATTTGAACTTATTTTCATGGACAGGATGTCTAACCCCCTCAACAGCCTTAGAAAAGATGTTTCACTGATGTGGAGTACTGTATTTATAAAAGGGGAAACCCAAGCAAACAAGATAGAAATATAAGGTCTGCAAATTTCTGAAATGTTCCCTAAACTTTTTATAGGGGAAAATTTCTATTCTTGAGACTCAGTTTTTAACTATAAATAAAAATAAATTACTTTTACAGATTAAAGGTGGACGGAAAAATAACAGTTGGTTAGAGAATAAAATCTAAAGATTTTTCCACATTCTAATGACTCCTATTAGACCTCATAATATTAATAATCCTGAAACTAATCCTAATAGATTATTTAGACCTGATATTTTCAGATTGTCGATGAATAATTTTCTATTCGTGGAACCATAAAATCTTAGACTAACAAAAAAACTTCTCTTGTTTTTTATAAAGCTTATACCCTATGCTCTCATTACAAGGATTATAATCTCTATTCCAAAGACTAAACCAATTCACAGATAAAGGAGCCTTTACCAATTGCTTGAGGGGGCTAATTTCGGTGAAGTTTCCAGAGAGCATCATCCTCTCAGCGATTCTCAGGATTGCGCTCGCCGCAGCTGCAGCGTCATGAAGCTGTCTGTACCTCTGGATCTGACACAGCCTCGACTGGACCCAGTTCTCCTCGACAGTGATTTTGCCTTCTGCAGAAACCATCTCTGACATGAGATCCAGCTCCTTCATTAGCACCTTTCCATCCCCCTGATCACCAGACTCCTCCAACACCTGGTCAAGCTGACTGAATGTGATGTTGGCCCCGGCGATGCTGACTCCAAGGAGGAAGAACTCCATCAGCAGAGGCTTCCAGATGTTGTCAGAGATCTGTGTTAGAGTCATCTGAACAGGAGGTGGGGATGGAAGTAGGGATGCTGCTACAGATTCTGCTCGTTTGACCCACCAGGAAAGGATCAGGTTGCTGTGATGCAGTTTGTGCATCTCTGAGGACATTTTCAAGACGTTCATACTAATTCTATACCAAAGGACTTGTGGAGAACCTATCTTTGGCAGCTTCCCTTCTGCATCAAAGGCTTGAACAAGCACCAGTTTGTTTAAACTGACAGCACTGAGGTCTGCACTGTGCTGTGCCTCCAGAGTCGACATCTCAGGAACTGTTAAAGTGTAAAAACATGACATACAAATTTAACTCGAAGCTGATTATAATGTAGAAACAATGAATCTGAGAAACAGACCTGTGAGACTTTCTGTAATCTTTGCCAACATTTTCATCAGCGTATCTATTTCCTGTCTCCGCAGCGTGAAAGCATTCAGGTCCTCCTCCCTCCGAGACAAAACAACTTTTGCATCCACAGGAACAGTCACAGACTTGGTGTTTGTTTTGTCTGTGGAAGAGATTTTCATGAATTAATCTTATGGTGAGGGAAAAACTTAATTTCCTGCTGACTGACAGTTCATACATTGCTGGTAAAGTCTCTTGAACTGCTCTCTGTATTTCAGACAGGTCTGTAAATCTCCCACAGACACGCTTCCTTCCAGCAGAGACACCACCAGGCGATGGACAGCCTCCAGGCAGCTGTGGACCATGTGTCCTGCCATGTCGTCCACCTGGATGGATCTCCAGTCGTCTTAGAAAGAAAACAACAGATTCTAGTGTAATAATGCACGCAGAACATGTTATTGTTTCATGCAACTGAATAACCCACAGTTAGAGAGCAGGAAGTTAATAGCTGACTGTGGATCGAGCAGCCGGACCACCATGTTGTCTCTGAACCGAGCTGCAGACTGGACCACAATGGCAGACGTGAATTTAGGAGGAAGATCCTTCACCTGGGATGTCAGACTTCTCATCAGGTCTCCTTCCTGTCCTCTCTGTGAACGGAACAGCAGAATGTGATGTGAACACCTACATTTTTAGGCTTTTATCTGATTGGTCCTTTAAAAAAAGTGTTTTTTAAGAGCCTAAACTTCAGTGATGGGTTGGGCTAAATGGTAATAAGAAGATTACGCCAAATCTGGCTCTTCAAAATAATGATTAGACATAATAATCTAGCTCTTTAAGGTGTTAAACTGCTATAGTACTTATTGTGACTTTGACATGAATTATTGATCATTAAAAAATAATCTATAGCATGTTTTTTTTTTATTAAAATGTAGGAATAATCGCTGGTGCCACTGATTTAGTCTACAAGGATGAGGAGGAGTAGCTGGCTAGTTGGTGAAGAGGCAACAGATGGAGAGAGGTGTCAATACAATAAATGTGACCAAAAGGGATTTCTCATAATCAGGAAGTCCCAGCTCTCCAAGAATCTGAGTGGAAGGTATTTTCATTTAACATCTATTTAAAGAAAAAAAATCTATTTTAAAATCTAAAGTATTTTTTTAAGTAGAAAACAACAATCTTTCAGTTTGGTATATAGACAATTTCCTGATTCACATATTTTATAAAACACAGGCGTGCTTTGGTGGCGCAGTAGTTAGGGCACACGACCCGTGTATGGAGGGCTTAGTCCTCAATGCAGGCGACCTGGGTTCAAATCAAGCCACTGGTCCTTTCAGCCTACGTCCATAAAAACGAGCCAGTAGTGCCGTAAAATCTCAAAAGTTTTTTTTCCTTCCTTTTTTATGGCTTAATGAGAGAAGTGGGCTTTAGGCTGCCCTGCAAGCTTTATAAACCTGGGTTTAAATGGCGACAAAGCCATTCTCAAGCACATATCAAGGTGCTCATTTTGAGCCTGGATCGATATTTATTTTTGATTATATTCATGATGCAGAATCCTGCTTCATAGCAGTAGGTTGCAGCCAAACATACTCAAAATGTGCAGCATCATCTTTGAGCACACCATTTCACTTTTCTTTCACCAGTGGTTCGCAATTCATCCAGCAGTCCACACTTTGTCTGCTCTTTTTCTCATCGTCTTCTCCTTCTTTCCCATCGCCTGGCTTGCCACAGGTTTGCCTGCTGTGTCTAAAAGTGGCAGCAGCAGCAGCTCTGACTGACAGCAGCTCATTGGCTCATTTGTAACACGTGTACTCTGGTTCTGGGTGCCCTGAAGGGCTTTACCATATTAACAGGAGAAGCGGTGCAAGTAAATTTAGACAATGTCGGCGGACAACATGCAGTAATTTATAAATACATAAATTCCATCCATCCAACCATTATCTGACACGCTTGTCCCAACTGGGGTCACGAGGGGTGCTGGCGCCTACTGTATCTCCAGCTGTCAATGGGCGAGAGGCGGGGTACACCCTGGACAGGTCGCCAGTAAATTTATAAATTATTGTAACTTATTAATTTATAAATTTCAATATAAATCAAGTAATTTTAAATCAGGTTGGGTCCAGATTAGCCAGCAGGTGGGTCTGGATCAGGACCCTGGTCCGCTATTCCGTGACCTCTGGTTTAGACCCTTCTAATGTAAAAATATTCCAATTTAACTGGAATAATTACGCTGTATTATAGCCTGTGTGTGTTTCTCATTTCTCAACCATGAAATTCAATCTCATTGTTCAGTAAATAACAATAATACAGTTTACCCTATCTTATATTGCTTTACATTTCCAAGAAAAACTGACATTTTCAGCTGCCCAAACAGAAAATATCACAGTGGTTAAGCTTTACCTCACAGACTGTCCTGATGGCTGAATGAAACATCTCATCAAAACAGTTCTGGACAACACTGTGACTTCTGCTCAAAGCGTCCCTCGATGAATCCAGACAGCAGACCAGGACTTTCTCCTCCTCAGTGACCTGCGCAGACACGCAACACAAATCAGGAATTTTTTTTTTAAGTGACTATTGAGCATTTTCTCCATGAGGACAGAGCAAGCAGACCTCAGATATCCTTTTCTTCAGATCTTTCTCCAGCTTTGCCTTCCAGTTGGAGGAAACATTTTCAGAAGAACATTCAACCTTCAGCAGCGCGTCCCACAGCTGTTCGGATAAAGAAAGACAGGATTAAGTTTGTGGACATAAAGTATGGAAGTGCGGAGTGAACTATAAATGTGAAATTTTGCTTTTCTCTTAAAGTACATCTAATTGTTCATTTGAGATTATTTTGCTGATTGTTAATTTTTAACAATGCAGTTATGTGTAACTTCAGGTTGTTTTCATGATACTTTTTCTTTATTTTACTATCAACATGTCATTTTGGAGATGGTTCTATTAATAATTTATCCAGAAAGGAAAATATATATTCATATATATTGCTATTTATAGTTGATGTTATATAGAATGAATTACTAATTTACATAATCGGGTATCCGAAATCATCCATATATGCAATATCAGTGCATCTCCACCAATTTACAGCTGGTTACAACAAAAATAAAAAAAATAAACAAATCAATATCATGACTGCAAATTGTTGCCAGCTGTATACCTCTATTTCCTTTGGATAATTGAGTTTTTTTCTAGTCAGAAGTGGATTTTGTAGCAGTTCTTCTCTCCAATTGCAGATCCACTGCTGCACAGCAAACAGCTCATCTATAACCTTCTGCTTGGAGGCCTCATCATCACCTTGTTCAGACTGAAAACAACCTCCATTAATCACAGTTTAAAGATGGGCATTGAATCCAAACAATTAGAGATTAATACCTTTCCTCTTAACTTCATCTCCAGGATCTCAGCCAGCTTCAGCACCAGCTGGAAGGCCTGAACTACTGTTTGGTACCACGGGACGATTCGAGCAATCTTACAAGTGTACTTCAACACATTGATGCTGCTCATAAAAACTGACTGTAGGTTTCCAGATTCAGACAGTCTGACAACACAAAGCAAAAGTTAACCACAGTCCAAATACTTTAAAATCTAAGACTCTAATGAATAATTCTGTACCTTTCCCTCTCTTTGTCCACCTTTAAAAGGATGTGGCTCAAGGATTTATCAGCCAGCTGCTTGCAGATGGGATCATAAAGTAAATTTTAGACCTATAAAGGTTTAACCCTCGAGATTGACGGTAAATATTTTCTTACCTTCACATTTTCTTTATCTTTATTGAGATCTGTTTTCTCCCCACATTTTCGCAGCCTGTAGAACAGACTCTGGATCAGATGTTCCACACTGATTCCCGTCATGTTTGAAAATTCAGGAAGATCGTCAAACGGGATCAGAGCCAACCAGCTCATCAACAGCACAGGCATCTCTGCAGCTGCTGGCAACTTCTCCTGGATAAATGAGAGCATCATCCTGCAACAGAAAAGAATGTGTCAAAAAAGAGATCAAGTAAAGATATAAAGATAAAATCTGGTCTACAATAGACTTGCCTCCTTTTTTCAGGCTGGAATTGAAACCTTTCTCTAAATCTGATAAAGTCAACTCCTTTAAGTCCTGACCAGCCATCCTCTTCAACATGGGGACCCACTTTAGTCGCATCAGCTCCCGGCTGTCTGAGCTGGAATAGCAGAGGAGGGAGCAGGACGAGCTCCACCACATAGTGCTGGACACAGCAGTTCATCAGACCCACCACGGTGCTGAGGGATGATACGATTGAATAAAAAATTAGATGAATGTTGAAAATGTTCTAAATAAAAGTTGAAATAACATCAAATAAAACCTACTTCTGGGGATTTTCAAATGGAGCGTATAAATCCTTTTTCTCCATCGCGGTCTTTGAGGACACCAGTGAACACAACTTGGCCCATCCTCTGACCCCGAGGTTGATTTGACAAGGTCTTGTGACTACGAAGACAGACAGACCCAGAAGCAGAGGACTGGAGCTCCTGCAGCTCTCTGGTACTTTTTCTATTGGCTCTCCTTTTAAAATTTGCACCAAACTCTCTGAAATCATGTCTGATGCCTGCAGATACAAACAGTTGTTACTGACTGATATTAAAAGAGCAAAAGATCATATTTCAGGAATGTTAGTATCTGCAGAGCTAACCTTAACCATTGGAGGATGGGAGTTGTCTGGGTATGAAACACGAGCTAAGTTATAACTCGTAGTAAAACACATTAAGTGTTTACAGAGTCTCTCAGTGCTTTGTTTGTGTGATGGAGTCCATTTCTGGAAGATGCTGCTCAGAAGAACTGAGGCTGAAGTCTGCCAAGCTTTGGAGATTTCCTCCCCTTTGGATTTTTTCAACCCTGCCCGTTGCAGGCCAGCTGAGAAAAAATGCTGGCTCTCAGAACGGCAGATGAAGCCTTCATAAAGGTGTATCTCTATGTAAACACAAACACATATATAAATGATCGTCTATCAAAGCCAACAATGAAGGATTTATGTTGGTTACATCAAGTCTTGCATTTACCTTTAATATTCCGGTCAAATGGAATTTGAAAACATCGTGTGGCTGTTCCTAAAACTTCTCTGTTTCGCTGCTTCACACCATACCAGTACGTAATCTGAGAACCTCTGTCTAGTGTGCTTTCTTCAATAGAGAGATGTGCTTCTAACAGGTAGTCTTCCCGGTTTAATCGACTGAGAAAAAAGGTCAAAATTTATTAGAAAATGAAAATAAATACTGGCATAAAACAAGACTTTGATCTCTGTGAACTACTAACTTTGTACTAACTTTTTAAATAAAATAATAATATAAAGCTAAATTGGGGCCATAAAGTAAAAAAAAAAAAAAAGAATTTAACCTGGAAAAAAAATTGTTTAAACCAAACATTGTACCTCAAAAAGTTTGTTCAAAAGGAAAAAAAAAAATTATAACTCCAAAAAGATTTTTATATGAAAGAAACATTAAAAGAAAAAAAGGGGTTTGTTGAAAGGAAAGAATTAAAACTGAAATAAAAAGCTTTTTTTCAAAAGAAAAGCTACTTTTCAGATTAAAGGTTTTTCTTTTCAACTTGTATTTTCTAAGGTTTCATTTATTTATTTTTTTCTGAGAAATAAATATTTGGTCAGGATTAATTCCTTTTTTTTTAACAAACTATGGGTACAATTTAGCAACCTAAATCTATTCTTCAATTTATAATCTTAAACAGAGTAAATCAATTTGGAGATAAAATGTTAAAAATCTAAACGTTCAAAGAAATTGCTTTAATATCACTATATATATCTTTATAGATTTTAAAATTAACATTGACAGTTCATTACAAATGTTTTAATATCCCTAGATTTTTTTCCATGTTTTTGCACATTTAAAACATGCTAAATTCTTAAATGTACAGTGGAGGATGTTTTTTTTTGGGGGTGGATCATCAAAATAATTCGTCCTCCTAATTGTAAATCTCTGTGATGATATGTTTACGTAAGGCTGTCCTATGTGCTAGTCCCCATTTTTTACTTACCGGTGGTGAGTCTGACAGAGTGGAAAAATTGCAAATCTTCTTTTGGAAAGTAAGCTTGTATGAGCGATGCAAACAGAAAATTTTAAACAGAGCGTGCACGGGGAGAAATGGGCTTGTGCACGCTCTCTCAATGGGGGTTCCCTCTCTGGAGTGGGTACAGGGTTGTGCATGCGCATATATAGTGAAGAGGGCGGGACTTTTCAAATATTCGCCAAAATACTCCACTATACCTTTAACAGGTGGTTTTAAAGGACATCAAAAATAGCATTATATTGTAATTGCATAAATTACAAGATCTGTTAAAACTGTGTCAGTAGTGCTAGGAGAAGCATTAAATGTGTTTAGTTAACCTAAGAGTAACTTAAAGGAGATTTGCCAAATACTAAAACCCTGAAAATTTAATAATACTTTCATAGCAATTTTAATAATCTAAATGTTTATAACAAAAAAAAAAACACAAAATTTGACACAAAAGTCTGTTTTAGAAGTTAGTGTCCATTAAAAACGTTCAAAGTCAAAGATATAAAGTAAAGAGAACTGCGCATCACTGGGAGGGATACTTACACTAAATGAGTTATTTCAAATGGCATACTCCCACCCTGATGACACAAAAGGAGTGTGTCGTGTTCCTGTTTGAACCTGAACTTTTTGTCCAGCACGGCGTAGATATGGAATGTGAACATGGGAGCTCCAGGAGGAGGCCTGACCGGACTCCGATCCCTGTGAAGAGAAGAGGATTTGTTTTTATTTGTAAGGCTCAGCATCAGAGATGAACAAAGCTGTAGATTCAGACTGACCGTGTGCTTAAAGGTGCCTTGTCAGAATTTTTCAAGGTGGTGGAAGTCGCCTGTCTCTCTCCTCCAGAAACAGCTTTGGCGTATGACTTTGGTCCTTCATCTTTTTCAGGAGGACATGTTGCCTCAGCTGAATCTCCTGCAGATTGATTATCTTCATCTTTAGATGTTGACTCTGCTTTACTCCCTTTCACCGAGTTGCCATCCAACAGGGGAACAGCAGTGTGCTGCTGCAGCTTAGGCTCAGTCTCTGCAGAACCAGAAGCTTCTGGCTCAACCTTCTCCTTCGTCGATTCATCTTGGTTTGATCCGACAAAGTCTGTCTGTGTTTCCTGGTTCTTGTGAAACACAACTACAGTCTGTGTGGATTTGTCTTTACCTTTAAGTTTCTTTGTTTGCGTTTGAGCTTCCACCGTCTTTGTATTTTTCTGTGGCTTTTCAACGTTTTCTTCTTTTTGCAAGCTCTCTTCAGCCTGGAGAGACTGTTCTTCTTCAAGCACACCTTCCTCTGTCTGGCTGCTCGTGGTCTCCACCTTACTCTCTTCTTGTTCTGTTATTTCATTTTTGGCATCTGAGAAATTCTTTTTCTTCCTCTGATGTCTTCTTCGCCTCCGTTTATTTTCCTGAATGTTTCTGGTTGGGTTTTCTGATTCTTGTTGCTGGAAAATACATTTAAATGGTTTTCATGGTACATTGTTTACATCTAATAACAAGCACACATATTATGAGTTCAGCTCTACCTTAGTTCTCCTTCTTGGTCTTTTCGTTGCAACTTCATCACTTTTCCCAGATTTCTCCTCAGACTCAGGAACACTGTGGAGCTTTTCTGCCCCGTCCGCCATCTGTGGGGGTGACTTTCCACAGTCCCCCTTACTCCGATATCTATAGCACTGGTACAAATGTTTGAAAATATTCATCTTGGACATTAATGTCCTATTATTTATTTTTATTTTTTATATACAGCATTTTAATCTACAACATATCATTTGAGTGAGTTTTGAAAACAAATTCTGGGGAATAATGATTATATGTATTGTGTTTTTTTTTTTTTTTTTGGTCTATGCATACCTAATTTTAGGCATTAAAATTTGGATATTGAGAGGAGAAAAAAATGTATAAACTGTAAGTTATATAACTAGTCTGTGAGAATGAGGTTATACATTATCAGCTGTTGAGTCAGGTCCTTTAATTCAAACTGAAACCTGCAGCTGCCCACACTGATAGGTAAAACCTTTCTGGAGAAAATCTGAATGGCTAAAAATTCGGACATTGTAAAATAACTTTAAAGAAGGAGGCTTCAAGTTACAATATCCAATATTTTTGTTTAAACTTCTATTTAATACAAATGTGGAGTTAAAGCTTCAGCAAATCTCACAATTATTCAGGTTAAAGAGAAAAGAGGCATTCACAATTTTAGTCTAGTGATTAAAATTCAAGTGTATTACTAAATCCATAGAAGCTAACAGCTAAAATTTGAGGTTGTATTTATGTATATTTTTTCGTTTTATTACAAAATATACTTAATATGCTGTACTTGGATAAAATAATACAGATAAATAGGTTCCACTTTATAATTCCACAGCCATATTAACCGCTTATAATAAAACAAAAAGTCCAAATTCATTAGGTTCTGATTTTAGCTAGCTTAAGTATGCTAGTTTGACATTTATTGAGGAAGGTGTTTTCAAAAAAAAAGAAAAGGGATCTGGCTTTTTAAATCTAATATGACTTTAGTTACAATCTTCGCTTTGCATTTAATAGAAAGTTCAACGTATGATAAGCATCCTAAAGTTGTATTTTGCTTACCTCTGTGACTGTCAGCCGCAGGTTGTAAACAGAAATGATCTCTGATCGTTTATTACAGACTCCTAAGTAAGGGTAAGGGACGGTCTGCAAATGGTTCGTCTTTCTTCCAAACGTGTGTTTTTCTTGTATGTTTCTTAACTGCAAGATCCCTTTTGCGGATTGAAAAACATCTGATAACAATGGTAAAAGAAAATAAAAGAAAAAGAAAATATTTACTTAGAGATTAAGCATATTTTTACGTGTTTTTCGTGTTGCTTTTTAGTTGGTATTTGTTGACAGTCTCTAAATCGCCTGAAAGTATTTTCAGTTTCGTTTCTGCTACATCGAAGAAGAAACTTATGTCGCGTTTAGTGCTTCCTCGGAATTTGTACTTTCGATTTTTTGAGAAACAAATTGTAAAACTACAGCCTGACTTACTTTACAGCATTATTTGTCTCTTTTAGATTTCAGTAGTAGACAAATACAGAGACCAACACGTTTTTAAATAAATATATAACATAATAATTCTAACATACAGAACAGAACACAGGGAATTAATGTTTGTTCCTTTTTGAGACAAAACAGCAATTTATTTCCCTAGATGGTGAAAAAAGAGGTAATTCTTAATTTTCTCAAAGTAGATATGGAGCATCATTGTTGCAATATTATTTGCAAACGTGTGCGGAAACCTGTTTGTCTGTATCTGGATTTGTGTGTGTAAAGTGAGATTTATAGGGGGGAAAAACTTACTTGATTTGAAATTATGAATGTTGATTAGCAATAAACGAGACTGTTGGAAACCAAAGAAATGAATGAGCAATTGAAATATAATGTACATTCATATGTTTTTAGTCCTTTAACCAAGTAAAATTTGACAAATAATGCACAGATCAATTCAGGTGAAAAACGATAGCACAGTATATACATATTAGGAAATTAAAAGTTTTTAAATTATTTATAATGCAAATAACCTGACAAAGAAGATAAAATAAGGGGTTATTTATGTCTTCATTTAATATCTATTTCTGGAGAAAAATAAAAAAAGTAAATGACAGACCTATTTCCTTGTAAAATGGCTAAATGGATACACAGGCATCAATTATATTTCTTGACAGCATCACTTCTCTTCTCTTTTTTTTATTATCTTGCCCCGTTTAAACCTTCTACATTTATTGTGGTGGACTGTTGAATTTAAATTGAACACCATGATTGATCGCTGAGGACTATATACATGTATGCAAAAGCAAGACCAGGTTATATGGATTTATACTGTTTTACAGACACAAAACCCTCTTTCCACTGGCCGCCAGGATCCAAGACATGAACCTTTGAAACAAACAGAACTGAACAGAAAACATCTAATGATCTGGCCCCGAATGCTCAGGCTGAACAGAATATAAAACAAAGGAAACAGGTGAGAGGAATAAATAATAATTGAGGCAGGGAGGGAAAAAGACAGGTGAAAGAAATAACCAACAGCAACAGATAATAAGCAACAGAATAAAATAACATTTTAAACAGCCCACTGATCAGTTCTGTTTTTGGAAGATGCTCAGGTCACCTCATGTGGTCCTAGAAGGCTCCTCGGTGCCCAAGGGCATCCAGTTAGTGACCCCTACTCTAGAGTCTGAATGCTGCTGATGGAGTTTGTGGCAGAGTTTGAAACATATCTGGTAGCAAACGCAGACAAGCGAGCCAGTCTTGAATATCAAACTACAACAAATTGTATAGTGCTTATTATAATGTATATATGATCCACTACATTATTATATTTAATTTTAAAACACATTTAGAGAAAAGGGATAAAAAGATTACTTCTATAACACAGCGGCTGGGCTTGCAATGGAAATAACTATGAATTACATGCCCTCTTGGTCTCCTTGAGGTTTATGATGCCTGATCCTCCATCACTTTGTTGACATCATCTGCTTCTTCTGAGTCCTGTGGAAGTTTCACAATGTGTTATATAATAGGCTGTAAAATGCTGTTATGAACTAGAGTGATTGTATTGGTAATACCTGTTGATGGTCGAAATGAAAGTTATAATAACAGCTAGGATGTATGAATGTAAGATTACCCAATTGTTGTTTTTACACACTGACTCGACATAAACAACAAGCTCAACTAGCTTACCTTTTTTCCTTGCTTGTTTTAGAATAAACCCAGCTGAAAGAAAAGAAAATAGAAATTAACCAACCCCAACGTGTAACAGAGACCAGCAGGTCACCTCAAGGTATCAACTCATAGAAAAGCGAGTCTCACCACTGAAAGATGCAGACTGCAGTGCAGAGCATTATTATCCCCAGGATCTTTAATGTAACACAGAGACCGGGTCCTAAAATAGATTAAATAAATGTTGATGGATTAAAGATTTAACTAGACAAATATTTACCATAGGCTACTGGGGACCAGATCTTAAAATGGTCAGTGTGTATAAAAAAAACACACAACTTTTCCAGCTTTATTCATTTTATATTCCTCCCTAAACATAAGAGGTCTGATAGATGTGCAGATCACGTATATTTTAGGTCTGTCGGTTGATGACCCATTATGGATGGCTACATACCATGCAAATAAGGTCAATGCTTGAACATTTCCCTTTCTGATGTCAAAAGGGTGTCCAATACATGTGCAGACCATTTATTTTATTTTTGTGAAATACCCACTGCTTAAAGAGAGGTCTATATGATGCGAGTGTCCACTCAATAAACATCAATTTTGCAGCACCCATGTTGACATCACTACAACCTGATTACAGACTTGGAAGACATTTAGTTCCAGATGTAAACAGGAAGTTGATTGCCTATTAACAAAATGAAGGAGAAGCCCGGCAATATGATTCATGCAATTTTATGGATTTAACAGAGGTGTAGCCAGAGTTTTTTTATAGGGGGTGGCCAGGTAACAACCAACAAACACTGATGGGTGGCCGCAAGTGGATAGGCACCAGAACCTCAGGGTCAAGCCAAAGAAAAGACAAAATATGTTTTTATTAAATAGTTATTTATCTATTATTTCACTGAAGACTCCTACATGATTTGCACATCATTTTCTCTTTACCTCATATAACACAAAACCGAGTTCTGAAAAGAGCATTAATTCTGTACTTGTCATATTTAATATTACTATATTGATGTGCATAATTAACAACTGTGTTTTTGTTGTCAAGAGATTAGGAATACATGAAAAGAATTAATTAATACATGAAAAAATTTAATCAATATTCCACTTGAGAGTATTACAGCTGCAACCATCTGTATCAGAGGAGAAGAAAATGGTAGGGGTGGCCACAGGGGTCGCCAATGATTGGCTAAGGGGTGCCAATCATCAGGTTTGCATTAATTCTGCACCACATTTACTGTAGAGGTCCAGTGAATGTTGTAATTAGACGTGTAGATAATGGAAAAAATACAGGCTTTTAATTTGGTACCTTCAGGAGAACAAAATTAGAGGTGCAGAAGCAACCGTCATATCGAGGTGTTTGCGACCCGAACTACATTTAGCAGCCGAAATTAAATGTTTGGTAAGTGTTGGACAAAAAAGGTCGCCTGACATTTCCATCTGCATCTTTAGAAGACTAAAATGAGACGTTCAGCTGCGATCTAAAAAAAAAGCAGTGGGTTAATCTTTCATAGATATTTTAGTTCTATTTATCTTTTTTATGTTTTTTTTTTAATTGTTGTACCTAGAGATACTTATATAAAGTGTTCCATAAATAGCAGTTAGCATTGTCATTGTTATTATTTCTTGACTAAATCATCATTACTATCTCCGTCTTTATGGCTTAGAATCATATCTTTATTTCATGACTACCAGCTATGCGCAAGCAATATGTTCACTTAAATGAAAATGTTTGTTTTTTTACACTCATGGTTATAGATATCACACAACAGAACCACTTATTCCAATCCACTTTTTTACCTTGTTTCTTGCCACCCAATTTTGGGCTCCTTATTTGGATTTTTTACAATGAGGTCCTCAAAGTCCAACAGTCTCAATTGGGGGTCAAAGGAGATATGTTTTTACAGCATTTTCAAACGATCTAACAACTCCACATTTTCCCTGTTTTTACACTTTAACACCGAAGCATCTCATAATTAT